GCACAAGCAGCTTATATAGTCCCCTACATACGCACCTACCGTTTTCTAGTCTTTTCTTCTACCCTGCCAATCCACGTCGAGATTCAAAGTGCTTTTCCCGCGATCATTTTGCGATCGCTGAGCCGCCAGCTTACCGCAACGAATATCTCGATTTGACAGCTTGCACTCACTTCCGCCATCGTTTTCGTCGCCTTTACGACCCTGACCAGCAGGACCGATAGCATACGATACTTGTCACGATGTTACACTCGCCCGTATTTCGTGACTTCATCAGCCAGGATCCCACTGCGATGGGTATCCTCTTTCGTTGCTGATACGTCGACAAGGGTACTGTGCCCCCACCAGCGCCACGATCCCTAATCATCTAGACTGGAGGTGGATGCATTTCACGAGCGTCTACACACACCAACAACAAACGAAACCGGGAGCGCCATCACACGCACAGGAACAAGCAAAACAATCGGCGGTTAGAAATGGAAATTAGCAAATTTACTAGGTTTTAGAAACGAGTTTACAGAATTCTCACACGTAAACGTGGAGGTAGGAGCTGCGGGGGGTCGCACGCGTTTACTGGTGCAGCTCACTGGTACCAGTGGGAACATAGCCGATGTGTCTTCCCTGGTCGACGCGTGTGCGCTTAATGTGACGACTGGGGGAGAAGGAGAGGCTGCACGCGATGATGCTGTGTTCATTTCGCTATGAATCCACATTGTTTGAGTCAGCTTTACCCTACTATTCGAAAATTCAAGAATTTCAATTTCAAAAAGCCAAAAAATTGAAAACAATTTCAAATAAAAAACAATATCATAAGCGACGGTATACTAGTGTTTATATTAGCCTTGTAGATTGATTCGTCATCTTGCCTATACTATTACAATATAGAGAATCTTTCAACTGAGCTACCGAGGCTTCACAACCCTAACATACCATACCTTTACATATTCGTCACGCGCACAAGCAGCTTATATAGTCCCCTACATACGCACCTACCGTTTTCTAGTCTTTTCTTCTACCCTGCCAATCCACGTCGAGATTCAAAGTGCTTTTCCCGCGATCATTTTGCGATCGCTGAGCCGCCAGCTTACCGCAACGAATATCTCGATTTGACAGCTTGCACTCACTTCCGCCATCGTTTTCGTCGCCTTTACGACCCTGACCAGCAGGACCGATAGCATACGATACTTGTCACGATGTTACACTCGCCCGTATTTCGTGACTTCATCAGCCAGGATCCCACTGCGATGGGTATCCTCTTTCGTTGCTGATACGTCGACAAGGGTACTGTGCCCCCACCAGCGCCACGATCCCTAATCATCTAGACTGGAGGTGGATGCATTTCACGAGCGTCTACACACACCAACAACAAACGAAACCGGGAGCGCCATCACACGCACAGGAACAAGCAAAACAATCGGCGGTTAGAAATGGAAATTAGCAAATTTACTAGGTTTTAGAAACGAGTTTACAGAATTCTCACACGTACACGTGGAGGTAGGAGCTGCGGGGGGTCGCACACGTTTACAGGTGCAGCTCACTGGTATCAGTGGGAACATAGCCGATGTGTCTTCCCTGGTCGACGCGTGTGCGCTTAATGTGACGACTGGGGGAGAAGGAGAGGCTGCACGCGATGATGCTGTGTTCATTTCGCTATGAATCCACATTGTTTGAGTCAGCTTTACCCTACTATTCGAAAATTCAAGAATTTCAATTTCAAAAAGCCAAAAAATTGAAAACAATTTCAAATAAAAAACAATATCATAAGCGACGGTATACTAGTGTTTATATTAGCCTTGTAGATTGATTTGTCATCTTGCCTATTCTATTACAATATAGAGAATCTTTCAACTGAGCTACCGAGGCTTCACAACCCTAACATACCATACCTTTACATATTCGTCACGCGCACAAGCAGCTTATATAGTCCCCTACATACGCACCTACCGTTTTCTAGTCTTTTCTTCTACCCTGCCAATCCACGTCGAGATTCAAAGTGCTTTTCCCGCGATCATTTTGCGATCGCTGAGCCGCCAGCTTACCGCAACGAATATCTCGATTTGACAGCTTGCACTCACTTCCGCCATCGTTTTCGTCGCCTTTACGACCCTGACCAGCAGGACCGATAGCATACGATACTTGTCACGATGTTACACTCGCCCGTATTTCGTGACTTCATCAGCCAGGATCCCACTGCGATGGGTATCCTCTTTCGTTGCTGATACGTCAACAAGGGTACTGTGCCCCCACCAGCGCCACGATCCCTAATCATCTAGACTGGAGGTGGATGCATTTCACGAGCGTCTACACACACCAACAACAAACGAAACCGGGAGCGCCATCACACGCACAGGAACAAGCAAAACAATCGGCGGTTAGAAATGGAAATTAGCAAATTTACTAGGTTTTAGAAACGAGTTTACAGAATTCTCACACGTAAACGTGGAGGTAGGAGCTGCGGGGGGTCGCACGCGTTTACTGGTGCAGCTCACTGGTACCAGTGGGAACATAGCCGATGTGTCTTCCCTGGTCGACGCGTGTGCGCTTAATGTGACGACTGGGGGAGAAGGAGAGGCTGCACGCGATGATGCTGTGTTCATTTCGCTATGAATCCACATTGTTTGAGTCAGCTTTACCCTACTATTCGAAAATTCAAGAATTTCAATTTCAAAAAGCCAAAAAATTGAAAACAATTTCAAATAAAAAACAATATCATAAGCGACGGTATACTAGTGTTTATATTAGCCTTGTAGATTGATTCGTCATCTTGCCTATACTATTACAATATAGAGAATCTTTCAACTGAGCTACCGAGGCTTCACAACCCTAACATACCATACCTTTACATATTCGTCACGCGCACAAGCAGCTTATATAGTTCCCTACATACGCACCTACCGTTTTCTAGTCTTTTCTTCTACCCTGCCAATCCACGTCGAGATTCAAAGTGCTTTTCCCGCGATCATTTTGCGATCGCTGAGCCGCCAGCTTACCGCAACGAATATCTCGATTTGACAGCTTGCACTCACTTCCGCCATCGTTTTCGTCGCCTTTACGACCCTGACCAGCAGGACCGATAGCATACGATACTTGTCACGATGTTACACTCGCCCGTATTTCGTGACTTCATCAGCCAGGATCCCACTGCGATGGGTATCCTCTTTCGTTGCTGATACGTCGACAAGGGTACTGTGCCCCCCACCAGCGCCACGATCCCTAATCATCTAGACTGGAGGTGGATGCATTTCACGAGCGTCTACACACACCAACAACAAACGAAACCGGGAGCGCCATCACACGCACAGGAACAAGCAAAACAATCGGCGGTTAGAAATGGAAATTAGCAAATTTACTAGGTTTTAGAAACAAGTTTACAGAATTCTCACACGTACACGTGGAGGTAGGAGCTGCGGGGGTCGCACGCGTTTACTGGTGCAGCTCACTGGTACCAGTGGGAACATAGCCGATGTGTCTTCCCTGGTCGACGCGTGTGCGCTTAATGTGACGACTGGGGGAGAAGGGGAGGCTGCACGCGATGATGCTGTGTTCATTTCGCTATGAATCCACATTGTTTGAGTCAGCTTTACCCTACTATTCGAAAATTCAAGAATTTCCATTTCAAAAAGCCAAAAAATTGAAAATAATTTCAAATAAAACACAATATCATAAGCGACGGTATACTAGTGTTTATATTAGCCTTGTAGATTGGTTCGTCATCTTGCCTATTTTATTACAATATAGAGAATCTTTCAACTGAGCTACCGAGGCTTCACAACCCTAACATACCATACCTTTACATATTCGTCACGCGCACAAGCAGCTTATATAGTACCCGGGGTCGCACGCGTTTACTGGTGCAGCTCACTGGTATCAGTGGAAACATTGCCGATGTGTCTTCCCTGGTCGACGCGTGTGCGCTTTATGCGACGACTGACAAATTGTTTGTATATTGATGATTTTGCATGCATCACAGTTTATCGTGCGACGCTATCTATTTAAGGATGCATATCACACCAAAGACGTTCGAATCCAAAGAGATGACTCCGATGTAACTAGAATATTTATAGCTTCATTCCTTACCTACCTGCGGTCTTTTCATCTGAACGCAGTATTTTTATGTTAACGGATACATTGTGCCTTACTCTTCTAATTGACATATACTATAGTATGGTAGTATGCATTGAATGACAAGTCAAAATCCCATCCGAATTTTTTTTTCGTGCATACTTGGAGGAGACCGCTTAGTGCCAAGCCTAAGTGTCTTACCCGCCAGAAGGTACAATCGTTGAGTCATGAACGCAGAAGATGCTTTGCCAGGCGTACCGTTGCTGCCGCTTAACTCTTATTCCGGTAGATTGCTTGAAAGTATGTCTGACTTAGAGGATAAACCATATTTGTTTTCGAGGGCTATCCATACTTTGTGTAATTTTACGTAAATGACAAGTATTACATCACGGATAATTTTAAAATGAAGAAACGTAAAGACATTCTTTTCTTGATAAGCCAAAATCAATAATAATCTTCGGTCTAACTTTGAGACACAAGTGTATCCTCGATACTGATCACTTTTCCCGTCAAAAGCTGCACGCGCTCTATCCCGACTCCCTTCGCCTCAACCTTGTTTTCATCTGCAATAGTGATCATTATCGGGTCCTTCATTGAGAAGAATTGGCTAGAAAATGGTAGGTGCGTATATAGTGGACTATATAAGCTGCTTGTGCGCGTATCGAATATGTAAAGGTAGGGTATATTAGGGTCGCGAAACCTTGGTAGCTCAGCTGAAAGGTTTTCTATATTGCAATAGAATAGGCAAGATGACGAATCAATCTACAAGGCTAATATAAACACTAGTATACCGTAGCTTTGATATTGTTTTTATTTGAAATTGTTTTCGAGTTTTTTGCACTTTAAAATTTTTGGTTTTTTAGTTATTGAATATTAGGGTAAAGCTGACTCAAAAATTGTGCATTTAAAGCGATAAAGACAGGACATTAGCGTGGCACATGTCAAACAATGTTTCTTAAAGACAGCAGAACGACACAGCAAACCGTAAATAGGTATGTTGTAATCTGTGGAAGCATCATAGTCTCCTGCAAGAGCTGCTTTGTATGTTCCAGGCCCGCAATATTCTCAAAAGTCACTTTTTCGCCATGATCCACAATGTCCCGCTCAATAGCTTCAATAAGCTCTTGGTCTACCCAGCCATTTTCTCTTGCCACTTCTGAGTACTTCACTTTGCCTGCAATCATCTCATGGTGCGACTCAATATCAGTTGAGCTTGCTGTACTTTGGACACTCTCACGCCGCTTTGACGATCGCGGCCCCTGCCCCATCTTTTCACTTCTCAATTTACTCCCTCGGGCACACATCGTTCCCGAACCCTCCCCTGTTTTTGTCTTTCGTCGGACAACTACCGTCGCCTCCACCAGTTTCTCCTTGCGGAGTCTCTGGGACTACGTTTTACGCTACTACCCGCAGACAGTTAGGCGCTTTCAGTTTCGGCTGTTAGCTCATCCCTGCTGTGTGGTAACTAGTTTGCGCTAAGTCTTCTCCGAAAGGAATCGACTGGGTTGTCTATAACTAGCAGAACTACTATCATCGTAGTGTGGTTATTGTTGAACGCTAGGCCGTTCTGCAGTATTCACTGTCATCCTCTTTCAGCTAACTTCCTGTTGACTGAGGCTACGTTGTTAGCAAGCTACTAGGCTGCACAGACTACTTTGTCCTGGTATTGAGGTACTTTCGACTTGAGTTTGTTTCGGTGCTCTTGCATCCGAATTGCAGTTGCAACTTCCCTCAATTTGTACGTCGCCGCCTCACTTGAGGATGGCAGCCACACGTAACTCTCCCGTTGGCACGCCTTCACAGGCGGCTACGGCTTCTAGGGCGGCTCCCACCCCGCCCCCACGATCTGTTCCTGATGACTCCTTTTTTCGGGCGAGTCTTCAGCGGTTCAATGACGTCCACTCATCCGATGTGGACCGTCGCTTTGCTGCTCTTGCGCCACTACCTACCCCTGTGGAGCCTGAGCTATGTACCCGCATGTGGATCCCTGCCAGTCGTTTAACGGCCGAGCATAATATTCACGAGATTCTTGAATCTCTTGCGGCTGACAGCCAACCATCTGTCTGGCGCCAGTCCCGCGCCCATCTTCGGGATTTCAACCGTATCCCTGGGCATGGTATCTCTTTCGTTTGCACGTCAGACGATGCTCTTCGCCGCCTTGGCGAAGTGAAGCTTACTATCTGTGGAATCACGGTTACTATTCGCAAGTACTCTAGCTTTGACAAGCTATACTATGTGGATCTGCAGCGTTTACCCGCTGATGTTACTGACTTGGCGGTGTATGACTGGTTTGTTGCCCGGGGTGCACGCCCGGTTTTGATCACGCCTACCCAAGTTTTTGGGGAACTCAACTCACGGTCACGGACAGTCTATTTCCATTCTGTCGCCTGCCCATCCCCCCTCTTTGAGCCGAATGGCGACCCACTTAGGGAAATTCATTTTCTTGAGGGGGAAAAGCCATGTTTTGTTCAACATCGGCTTCAACGATTCAACCGCGTTCGGCCTCCTTCCCTCCGGCCAACTGTTCACCCCTCATCACCTCGCTCTGACGCCACTATGCGTAGCGATGACGGGGCCGCTACTTCGGATGAGCTGCCGTCCACTGCGGACTCTGTTCCATCCGTTTCCTTGCCTACCTCGAGCCCGTCCCCGGCTACGTCAGTGGTACGGGCTATACCACCACCAGCTGTTCCTTCTGGCTCTACCAAGGACAGGCTCCTTATCTTGGGATCGGTTGCTACTGACGAACCTATGTGGAAACTGGTTCAACACTCTCAGTATGGGATCATTCATCAGGACGGGCCTAAGTATCTTGAACCTCCACGTGCTGTGCCGTGCCGGTTGTATGAAGGCCCAGATGATCCCCATTCATTACTGTATTCCATTCCCGTCATGCCCACAATGTATGACGTCCTTTACGACGATGGTTATGACACATCTCTGCCACCTGATGTGGATATTAACCCGTCTGAACTGGACGAATTTACTGACTTAACCGAACAGGTTTCGGGTTTTACTGAGGACTCCGACCTTGTGCCTGCTCCAAAGGCCATCCGTTCTCTTATGAACACACGGAAGTTGCCTTTACGGGTTGAGCAAGTCTCGGTTCGTGAACTCGAACACTTCATTGATGAGTACTTGGCCGGCGAATTTTCGTCGTTCACCTCTCACGATGATGCCCTCGCCGCTGTCCAAGTCCAGCCGGCGTACTTTCGTCGCCTATTCAAGTTACCTGTGGAGCATCAGACTCGCTTATTCAAGAGGCATGCGGCCTATCGTTCTGTGAGTGCGGAGCCTCTTCAACCGGGCGAGATTTGGAGCGTCGCCACTCGTCTTTCTCAGGGTTTTGCAGTTGACCCTATGGACGTTGAAGGCACCTTTGACAGTCTCTTTCGTACCGATGAACGCAAGCTCGCGGCTCTTTCTAGCGCGACTTGTGATTTCTTTTTGATGATCTTTGCACCAGCGGTTTACGTGGATCCTGTCAAAGTATCCGCTTTATTACCCGGACATGCTGTCCCCAAGCGTATCCGCCACTCGCCGTTCCCCCTTTGGAGCGATATTATTCTGCTTTATTTGGCACGGACGGATGTGGGCGGTCTATTTCTCTCTGATTCACGGACACCTTCCCATGTGGTAGATGCTATCCGTTATCTCGCCAATGCCGCGCTCCCACAATCCGCGGCGACCGGGTGTTCCAGTCTTGTGCGTCCCCGGCTATAAGTCGAAGATTTCGCTTTCGCTCCTACTATATGGATACATCAATTCTCCCCCCTCTTCATGCTTACGGTTATCTACGCTGCCTGCCTCAAGCTTACGACCCAGCATCACTGCAACGACTTCCCTCACCCGCTTCCATTGCTTTTCCTGCACACGTTCAAGCTTCTAGGGATTTTTCGCCTGTACGTCACAGCTCTTTCGCACACACCCTCCTTCCAAGTGCCACCTCTTCTTTGGACTCAACTCTCAGCTAAGTCGTACTCCTACTTCGGTCCATCTATTTAGTTTTCGTGTCATTCTAATTAGATCTAGACTGTTTTTACTTATCATCAACATCTAATACGTTAGGTAGATTTTTTAAAAAAGTTAATGAAAATCAATTTACCCTGCCCCATCTTTCGGTGTTTCAAATCTGTATTTGAAGTCGATGGTACCCGGCTACGCTTTGCGCCATTACAAGGCTTTTTATCTTTCCAAATGGCACCAAAGTTACAATTGCCAGCAATGCATCGCTAACAATAGTACTATAAACTCCCACCGTTTCCTAAAGATGACCTGGTCATTGGTCTCATCGCGTTCTTCCGACATTGACGCTGTCGCACTCGTAACATAGTAAGTTAGCAATGATGCTAAGTCACAGCTCTAACCATACAACGCAATTTTTCGTTGTAGTAGCACGTGGCACTCCTTTATGCATCCACAATGGCACTCCTTTTTTCTTAGCTCTTTGACCAGTTGCAGCTGAGACACAAATCGTGCCTTCCTGCTCCACCTTCTCACACTGTATCCAATCCTCACCGTCAGCTTCAACTAGATTCTTTTTAACCATTCTTCTTACTCTATTGATGACACTTGCAGCTTCACCTACAGCGATGGTCCTTGATGCCTGCTCCTCTTGCGCTAGTCGCAGTCCTCTCTCGATCACGGCGTTGCTACGTCTCTGGACTTGTTGCATTTTTTCACTGCAATCTCCAAACCTTGAAGCATACTCATATATTCCACGATCATACGATACTCGTGCTGTAAATCTGTCAAGAACTATAATAAAACAAACAAAGTCATGAGATAAAGTGTGACGTATAAATGTTGATGCTAGATTTAATATCACCTCTTATGCTTCAATATATCCTTCATGATGCGTCTCCAGTGTCTTTGTCATTGCATCATATTCCGCAATACCGTTGTCGTAATCACCTAATCGTCACAGTTCTCTTGCTCACAACAAACGTTGCTGCGTGCTCTTGGCAGTCGTGTTGCTGTTCATGGCAGACGTATGTTTCTTGCTTGTGATTTGGTAAAATCAATCCATCCAAAAAAATTACTGTCTATATTTGTTAGTAGACCGGTATACCGGTACAATCCCATGTCGGCAACCTGCTGGTAAAGTGGTACTATCTGACGATAAATACCGACAATACATCAGGCGGTGGGGATGCGCACATGGCCAATACCATCTAAATACCCACTCTCGAGATTACAGAGGTCATGAATTCCCCTACATTTACACGATTAGCCCATTCTGATAAATAGTATCCAACGATCATATGCAGCCCGAAACACAACCTTTTCACGTACATGTTGCCTGCTTCTGCTCACTTCATTACAACAAATCTGTATCAATCCAGTAAGTCGTTCATAACGCTGTCGACCTGTGCACGAGGCAGATCTAGTATGCACAGACTTTCCCCCAAATCTGTGGAGATTTGTTGTCAAGCAAAACGTTGCGTATTAGCATTTCAGCGTACCAGGCGTCAACAGGCTCACCGCTTTGGCGTTTCTTGACGACAAACATCCCCTGTCTCTGAATCTCCTTAACGTCCAGCATCTTCACGAATTCCTGATAAAGACGGCAAAATCCTCCCTAACAGCTTGCAAACTCGAAAGCACGAGTCGATCTCATACTAATCTTTGTCAGCGCGGCAGGTAAAGACACAGCGACACCGTGCCTAATTAACAGATGTAGATGTGGTAAACCGCTCTAGACTTCCAGATCGGCTACGGTCTTATTGCACGGGTTACACTGCTTTGGCAGGTTTGCCCTAAAAGCCTTGAAATTGTTGTTGTGCACGCGATGGTCAATGAACCAGCGCAGTTATTTGGCGAAAGCAATGTCGGCATGGGCCAGATCTACTCAACGAATTTGGGCACACGGATCATGGCCAAGTGCCAGGATACTGCGTATGTACGTTGCAGCCCGTCTAGGAGGAAAACAGGGTGGCTAACGGAGTGATACATCTCATCGTTGACGAATACGCCTGAGTCTTGACGTCTCAAGATGTCAGTACTATCTAAAACATCACTGCTCGCGGGCGCCACAATCTTTTCCGATACGGCACGAGGTAGTGCACTCAGCCCACTTGAGCGTAAGAAATAAAGAAAGATCTTTCATTACTGACTGTTGCCCATATACATGCAGCGTTCCAACACTAAGATCAGCGGTGCCGGTTCTGCGGCCGCCATTAGCCGCCACGTAGGTCGCTTCCAGGTGCGTCATCATACTGTACGTACGTAAATTAGTGTAGTTATCGTGAATCTTCTTACACAAAGGCGAGCAAAGATGTAGCCGAGCTACTGTAGCCAAGCTACTTATGCACTATGTGCCGAAGAAGACAAGCTCCAAGAGCTTACATGTCTTAGGTGACCAATCCTTCCTAGGCTAGCTCGCAAGCTTATGCCTATCGGTTGTCACAACCGGGTCTCAAACAGACTAGTATCAAAGATACAACTTCCTGTCTTGCAAGGAAGAGAACGCTCGAGCAGTGATGCTTATATATTAGGCTTGAAACTGATACATATTTACGTTTATCTTCTAACACTAAAGATAGAAGCACCTACTCTATACTAAGTGCTAGTCACTATACTGGCTCTATAGCCTATTATTATTATGTTACCATGTATAGTAACTATACTTAAATAAGTATAGTGATCACGTGGCTCTTCGTACCTTAGGTACAGTCACATCAAGCCTACTATTGTATCCAAGGTACAGCTACACCACATTGTTGTGGCAGGTGTGTATGTAAAATACACACCTTTGTGTAAACCCGTTAAACCCTCCCCCCACCAATTGGTGGGACCCGACGTACCCACGATTTTTGGCACTTAATAGGAGTCATCGATTTTATTTTCTTCCCATTTTGCTTACCTCGCAATAAGTGCTTGCACTTGCGAACGGAGCGTTAGTGTTTTTTACACTTACTCCTTGAGAACCTGTGCTTTGGACACACGCTTTCTACGCATCCTAGTGTTTCGATACTCGCTCCTTGAGCATACAGTGCATTGCACCTACGCTAAAGCATTCCGACAACAGATGTCGTCGCTTCTAACCGTCCTGGTCAAAAGCGTTAACAGCGTCAGGGCAATCCTGCTGGAGGGGTAGCTCAAACTCCCACGAGTCGTACGACTGGGGGTAACCCCTCCACTTCACCAAGTATTGGGTATGACCCTGGTGACGACGCCGAGCCAAGAGACGTTCCACGTGGAACTGTTGCTTACCCAGTTCATCAATCAGCGTCGGAGGAGGCCAATGATTCATTGACCTCTCAACTCTGTAAGATCGAGCGTCGCCTGACACTCCTGGAGCGTGATGCTATGGCATCGGTGAGGTCTCACCTGTCATCGATCGATGACCGTGTCGATCGACATTGTCGGTTTTTTAGCGTTGTCGCTTTGAAACCTCGGATCGCTTAGCGGTGATTGAGCGTGTTCAAGCCAAACTGCGATGTCAGATCGACCCAATGGTACGCCTCAAGCGTTCATATGCACCTCCTGTGCCGTGCTACCCGCCTCCTCGGCCGGGGACATGGGGACAACCCCTCGAAGTCCACCGAGGCATGGTTGAGATATGGCTTTAGCAAGCTCACATAAAACAAGGTGTGCTCGCATCTTCTTCGGAAGGTTCAGCGTATTGGCTAAGACTTTCTTGCTTATTACCTTAAAGGGTCCAATAAAGTGTGGACGTGAGTTGGTTTTGTATTCCGCAGAAACAGCCTGAGCAGGTAAATTTCTAGCGTTTGTATAAAGCCAAATCGCCCACTTTGAACTATTGGTCGTTATTTCTGCCTTTGGCATCCGCTTGTTCCTTCTGAGCATCCAGGCTTTCAGCCATAGCGTCTTTGACGCGACGTAATACGTCAAAACGCGTTGACAGAAACGCTTTCACCTTCTTGCGTATGACAACAGGGCTGATATCAGCCAAGCCTTCGGCTTTCTCCCCCCCTACTAAGTCCTGATTTCGTAGGGGGTAGCGTTAACGGAACGCGATAGTTAACCTAGCCATTCACGTAGAATGAGGTGAAGCCTGTCGAGGCATGCACCGCGTTTTTAACGCAAACTCTGTGAAAGGGAGCATCGTGCTTCTTTGCATTGGTGTTTCATCACAAAACACTGCGACGCATGTCACAAATAACGCGATTGACGCGTTCTGTCCGACCATCGGTCTGCAGATAATCCGCCGTAAACATGTCCAGTCGAGTTTCCAGCACTTTAAAGACTGACGTCCAAAACGTACACCTAAAATGGGGGTCTTTATCAGAGACGATTGCCACAGGCAATCCGTGTTGTCGAAACACACGATCCATGAACAGCGTAGCTGTTCCTTCTCCATCAATGGATTCCGGCACTGCCGCTAAATGAGTCATCTTGCTCAGTCGGTCAACAAAGACCACAGTCCCAGTGTTGCCTGCCGCATCACGCAGTAGGCCAAACACAAATTACATACTAATGGACTGCCATAACCCCGAGGGTACAAGCAAATTCGCCAAAGGCGCAGCCATACTAGGCGATGGCTTCACCCGTTGACACGTTATGCACGTGCGTACATACGCACCAACCCATTTATACAGCTTGGGCCACCAATAATGGAGGCTCACCAAGCTGTAGGTCTTTTCACGACCTTAATGACCACCAAGTGGTATATCATGAGCCTCATAAAGTACCTGATACTTGAGGTCCTCATCATGAGGCACCACAACACGAGGCTGCTCATCCGACCTTCTACTATAGTACACAGACCATCGTTCAGTGCATAACGATGTAATCTCGCACGATTACGTGATGACAGCTTCACCGTAGCATTTTCAAACTCTGCGCTACACAGCGCCTGCATAATGGCAACAAATGCCTCATCGCGTGCATACGCCACACGGATACGACCCGTAAGTGAAAATCTCACAACATTAAGATGAGCAAGCACATAGTCAGTTCTACGCGATAACGCGTCAGCCAAAACATTCTGTTTTCCCGGCTTATGCTTCACCTCGAAGTTATACTCCACGAAAACGGAGACCCAGCAAGCCTTTCTCTGCGAGAGATTAGGCGACTGTCACTGTGCGTAATGACGCATGATCGGTATAGATCGCAAACGGCTTTGATCCCAACAGGTGTACCCTGAACTTGACAATGGCATACTTCATCGCAAGTAGCTCCTTTTCATGAACTGGATAGTTCTTCATTGCAGCTTTCAGCTGGCGAGAGTTAAACGCGATGACGCGCTCTCAGACCCTCAGAATAAACTTGCAAGAGAGCACTGCCAATGGAAAAGTTAAAGCGTCACATACGACGCTAAACGGGCGATCAGGATTATGCAGGGACAGAATTGGCGCCTGAAGGAGACTCTCCTTTATGGCTTCAAAAGCCTCGTGGTGCTCGGCGTTCCAAAACCATTCCACATCTTTTTCAAGAAGATTTGATAATGGCCTAGCCACTTCCGCATAGTTGCGGCTATACTTGTGCAAGTAATTTGCCAAACCCAACCACTTGTGTAGGTCCTTTTGGTTCCTCGAAACCGGCCAATACACTATGGCTTTGACCTTAACATGGTCTGCCCGGATTCCTCGTTTCCCACTGAAGCATCCCAGAAAGGGATTCTCTTCCGCCTCAAAGATGCATTTCTCAATATTGGCATATAACTTATGCATCCTCATGCAACCGAGCACAGCTCGCAGATGCTCGATGTGGTTCTCCACATCAGTCTTGCCATTTTCGGCTCGACTATGGACGAATAAATCGTCAGAGTATGTCTATGCATACGCCATATGGGGCCAAATCAACTGCGTCACTAGACGATCAAACGTTACATGTGCGCTAGACAGCCCTTAGGGCATCACTAACCACTCCCAGAGCATACTGCTCGGAGTACTGACCGCTGTCAGCGAGATATCACTAGCTCGCATGAGCAGTTGGTAATATCCATCGACTAAGTCGAGGGCACTGTACATTGTACATCCCACCATATTATTCTGAAGAACATCCATGCGAGGAAGGCTTTGAGCCGGGATAGTGGCTGCATTCAGCTTATTGTAAGCATTCGTCTTTCTCGCACAAAACGTTGGCGTAGAGTGAGGAGAATTACTCTCACGCACCATGCCAGCCACGTGCTTCGCACGAAATAACTCGTCAATGACGTCATATTGTTCCCATGGCAGCGGCCACTGTCGCGTCACACAGTATTTGGTTCCTGAAACCAAGTCAATCTCATGACGTACACCTCTATCCGGAGGTAACCTCGTAGGATGGTTCTCTGGAGACAACATCTCCATATTCCTTCAACAAAGTAAAATAAGGATAAGGTCCTTCAGGATCTGTGATCCACTACGTGCATCCAGCGCCTTCTTGGTGTCCTCAAGAACTGCTTTATCCAAAAGCGATGAGCAGTTCAACTCCTCCTCAGGTCGTATAACGACCACTTCGGCGATGTCGCCTGCCTGTAAGGCGATGCGAAACTCGGCAAAGGACAGCTCGTCCAGCTCTAACAGAGCACTTACTGCGGGTATAGCTGAAAGATCCATCGGCTCTTCAACATCCCCAGTCAAACCATTGACGAGTGTATATAGCTGTTCGCTATCACCGTCACTCACAATATCATCATCGCTACGCATGATGCTCTCAGTATCCGACTTATCAGGTGTACACATTTCAAGGTCAAAGAAACCTTCGAATTCTGAATGCACCCCACCCTCTTGGTTCAATGCTTCGTCATGAGGTGTTTGCACCTCGTTGTCCTCAAAGACAACCGTGATTTTTGACTTCACCCGACCCTCCTGGGCCAGTACCTCGTCACTAGGTGCTTTCACCTCGTTATCTTCAAAGACAACCGTCATTCTTGACTTCACCCGGCCCTCCAGGGTCAGTTCCTCTCACTCATGTCACTTGGACTCATGTCCTGACATCTTGGCTTGCAGCCACCAACACCACTCACGGTGTTTAATGATGTAACATCCTTCTCATGACACATGTCATATATGCCATCTAGTGGGTTCTCAACCACATTATCTGCAGTCTTGGGCCTCGCCCAGGACTATTTTCCTCGACACTTACAGTGACTACAAAGTCGGATATTCCGACATCCAACATAATGACCGAATCGGTCCAATATCCGCGCCAAAAGCGCTTTTACTTCCTAGCAGAGGTAGGCTCATGACTCTCCAGAGCCCCACCAGGAGCATTGCGCGATGCGTCTAAGGTCTTCGACCTCCAATCAATCCATGGCTCATGACGTTCTAGCCATGCGATGCCTAAGATGAGGTCATACCTCGCATCCAGGTCTAAGACCAAACAGCGTTCCATGCTGTTAAAGTCCAAGAACTTTACAACTAAGTCCATCGGGACTTTGGGTACCGTAACACGCGTACCAGTCGCTAAGCGAGTTGTGACTGTGACACTTTCACGCGCTACAAGCGCTTCAGCATACTGATGACTACCTTCCATGGTGGCACGGCGCACATAATTGCCCGATGCCCCCGAATCGATCAAAATGATCCATTGCTTATCATAGCCCTTAATCGTCCCTTCAACGACTAGCAAGCCTGGCTTGCACTCTCGTTACGTTTTTGAGAGTTCGGATCTCTTTGGGGCTGGGCCCTGTTTGCTTCTACCTCCTAGAGGTTCAACAGACTCAGTTCTTCCCCAGTAGGGCGCCCCGCGCCTACTGGGTTCCGCCGTTTCCCCGCGGCAAACTAAAAGGTTTACCCATGGGGCGTCGGCCCTTAGATGCCAAATATGCCTTTCTTACAGGGCACATGCCATCAAATGGCCTGTGCTCTTGCAGATATAACATCTGTGCACAATTTGCTGCTCCGCAGCTTGAAGCTCAGCTTCTTCATCCTCCACTTGGCTACAGTCCATGGGTACAGACCCATCAGACGAGTAGGTATAAGTGGCAGGCCTAGCGGCCTTAAATTTGGTCTCGGCATTCCATGCCACTCCAACAGCTTCCTTGAATGAGGACGGGTTTACCCAGAAGACTTCTGTTCTGGCAACGCCAACTCGGAGGCTCTCAATGAAGACCGTGACGGTCACTGCCCCAGGCATAGGGTCTATGACTATGGCAGCAATGAGAGTTTTCAACTCTTGTACACATGCCGCAAGCTCACGCTTGCCTTGGCGACACGACAAAAACCGCAACCGATTACGGTGTGCTTGGTTTGACGGTGCATACTGCCGGGTCATGTGAAGTTTCAGATCGGCCCATGTGGGAAAAACATATTGCAGTGATACACCACATGTGAATGACCACTGTTTGGCTAAACCACCTAACTTGCCCGTGGCAAAGTCCACACGGTACGGTTCATAGGTGATGTCGGCTATAAACATAGCCGACTCAACCTGTCGGAACCAAATCATAAAGTTATCACCGTCTTTGCCTTCTAGATTATTGACTTCCATTTGTATGGGCTTTGGTCTGCAAACCACTTCTTGCAATTTCTACGTCTTAGGGTTCTTGACCCTTTCTAGGCAGCTCGTAAGCTTGTGCCAATCGGTTGTTACAACCGAGTCTTCGAGAGACTAGTATCAATGATAAGATTCCTCAGAAGGAATAGTACGCAAGCAGTGATGCTTATAGAGCAGGTTTAAAACTAAAATATATTTACGTTTATCTTCTAACACTAAAGATAGAAGCACCTACTCTATACTAAGTGTTAATCACTATATACTAACTCTATAGCCTATTATTATTATGCTACCATGTATAGTCACTATACTTAAATAAGTATAGTGACCACGTGGCTCTTCGTACCTTAGGTAAGGTCACATCAACAACACATTGGTGTGTATGTAAAATACACACCCTCGTGTAATCCCGTTACAAAGGAAGTTGCGAATCATGCTTGTTTATGTCTCGCACTATTGTCGTCCAGTAATTGCATGGCCATCTCTTGAAATTTCAATCAATCTTTTGCCGACAATAGCGCGGTTTGGCGCAGCATCTGCAACAAAATGGCAGCTATCAAAAGAAGAAAGCTGCATATTGGACGTATTAACTTGTCTTTGTTCCGACTGATAGACGGATGAAGACATTTTGATTGGTACAAGAGATAGCACGACGACAAGTCGATTGGTAAAACAGACAGCAAACGCTGTTTCTGTTTGCTCGACTTGAGGGTCAAATGCTTGCGTTCTTTTTTTTTCGATAAACTAAGACCAGTTCCCACGAATATAATATTGATGTCAGCTGCGCCGTAGGTACCGTTATGTACCTGTCTGTATCGAGGCATAAAAGATAAAGATAATCTATGACAGTACTGCACAGATCTTCAAGCTTATTTTTCGAACAAGGCAAAATGAAGAGACGTCCGGTCGTCTCTTTTGTTCACCTCCGAAATATGAAGCAGTAGATGAGCTCTTTCTCAGACAGCAATCCTTTTCTTGCAAATAGTCAGACAGCGGCAACATTTTTGCCTCCGAGACTGCTTCAAAGTCTGTGTTAGCAGTGCAAAAGTCATAAATTTGTACTGCATGTTCCATGTTTTTTGTATAACCTATTAAAGCTCTGGAGGTAAATACTGATCCAAGTTGCACTTGTATTTAGGCTTTGCTTGCGTTTAACAAATCAAGAAGAGCCGGCGCGTAAGTATGCTTTTCTACCCTTATCATGAGTCCGTATTTGCGTATCAGGTGGCACAGGATATACAGTGTCACAGATGTGCAGATTGGGCGGGGAGTTCATCATACCTACACCACTTTACTAAAAGATTCGAAACCCCAAGCGAACTTGCCACATCAATATGCGCGTTCTCTTCGTTACAGCATGCGTGGCAATCGCCGCATGTGAATTGAGTATGTTTCCACAAGCCGGGCCATTTGGTATTCTAACCAAGCAAATAAATTGATTCCCAGATAGTCGTTATAAACCCTCAACATTAAGTCTCAATGAACTCGTTGGGAGGGACCGTGTTCTTGTACCCTTTTGCCATGAGCTGGTTAAGCTCCAGGCGTTTGTCAGGGGCTTCAAACACCACGAAGCGCCAGGGCTCAGTACGGCCATGTGTGGGCGCCCAGTTGGCACCTTCCAGCATCTTGGTCAGAACCTCACGGGACACACGACGCTCAATATCAAAATTTGGTGAAAAGATGCTACGTCGTTGTGCAAGGAGCTCCTCGGCGTTCCAAAGTCTGTTGCTATGGCTGTCGCGTAAGATCTTGGTGGTCTTAATGACATTCGTGGTTGTCTTTTTATCAAGTGCAATGGATGCAATCTTAGCGCGTAGCTTTAATGCATAGAATGCCAAGCCAATGCTTGTAGCACTAGCTAGACACAATAGCAACAGTCGTGGTGATGACGGGGGAAGGCATTTGATGGTGCTTGAGCGAAAGAGAAAACAAATCAGTACATTTTGAATGGTCAGTATTGGGACTGAGCTGTCTTGTCACTGCCACATTTGACTGCGTCTTCAGAGCAATACGCCACTGACTGGTTTGAGCCGTCACGCACTGACAACCAACCATGTTTGTAGTCGCACATGCCAAAGCAGCATTGCGTCGTTTCCATCCTCCTCGGACCGTCCGCTCCGATGCTGTTACATCTTGTAAGTAAATACCTCGTCGCTACGAGCATTTACATTGTTGGAGAGCCTGCATTCTTGGAGTATCGTGTGCTTGCTTGGCACTTTGCAATGCACAATGTGAACAAAAGGTGACACAGGGAGGAAACAAACCAAACGATTATCATGAGGATGAATTGGTGGTTGTAGGTGAAAAACAAGCAGATTTACCAATTTACACGATTGATGAGGTTCACAAGCACACGGGAACCAACAAAAGCAGCACGTGGGTTGTCTACAAGTGTGGTGTCTACGACATTACGAAGTTTATTGGATCGCATTCAGGTGGAACAAAGATTTTAATGGCTGCTGGCACCTCGATCGAACCTTTTTGACAGCTCTACGCTGCTCATAATCACGCAGAAGTGTACAAGGTTTTAAAAATTTGAGGATTGGGAACCTGCGAGATGAAGATGTAAAGATGTTGGAAGCTGTGCGAAAAGCAAAATATAAAGAAGGACCATACAGTCAAGATCCGATGCGTCACCCAGCACTTAAAGTGAATTTCAGTATGCCATTCAATGCTGAGCCGCCAGCAGAACTGTTGATGGAGTCGTTTACCACTCCGAATTACTTGTTCTTTGTAAGAAATCACTTGCCTGTGCCAGAAGTAAATATCAAGAATGTTACTTTGAAAATTTCTGGACTGGGTATTGAAATGGCATCGAATTGTCATTGAATGATTTAAAGAGTAAGCTTAAACAACACACGGTGACTACCACGGTGCAGTGCGCTGGCAACCGACGTGCAGAGATGTCAGCGGTGAAACCAGTTAATGGACTAAGCTGGGATATGACGGCGATATCTACTGCTATTTGGACGGGTGTGCTGCTTTCGGACGTGCTCGCGAGTATTAGTTCCGGACAAAGATTTGCGAAATGGACAGTATGAGTGCGAGGTGGGAGAAAACACGGACATACGCAACGATTTCAATGCGATGATCCAGCACGTGCATTTTGAAGGGCTGGATGCTGATATAGAGGGAAATTGTTATGGTGCGTCGATTCCGATTTCCACCGCGTTGGACCCCCGGAAGGATGTACTGCTTGCATTTGAGATGAATGGTGAAACGATCCCGCGTGACCACAGATATCCTTTGCGTGTAATTGTTCCTGGCACAGTAGGTGCTCGTAACGTGAAATTTCTTCACCGTATCGTGCTTTCAAGCAAAGAAGGCCCTAGTTTCTGGCAGCAGCGTGACTACAAGGGGTTTTCACCTAATGTAGATTACTCTCATGACAACTTTTGGAAATATGCTGGTGAATCTATTCAGGAGCTACCTGTTCAATCTGCAATTACTGAGCCCAAAGATGGAGCCGTTTGTTTGTGCATGATGCGTCAGATAGTTCTATTTTGACTGTGAAAGGATACGCCTGGAGTGGCGGCGGTCGAAACATCATTCGTGTTGGCGTTTTAACGGACGGCGGTAAGACCGGGACGCCTGCTGAGCTGCATGAGTCTGGTAAACGTCAAACATACAACCGTGCTTGGGCGTGGACTCCTTGGGAGATAGATGTCAAAATTCCTCTTGGCACAACGAAACTAGACATCGTATGCAAGGCCGTAGATGCGTCCTGCAACGTGCAACCTAATACCATTGCTCCTATTTGGAATATGCGTGGCATACTAAACAATGCGTGGCACCGGATCCACGTATTGGTGGCAGAATCTGACGAGGATAACGGCGATGAGGATGAGTCATGTGCTTGAGCCTGTAAAAAATATCGATTATGTTGCAAACTTGCACAAAGCTATTTTGGTATGTCTTCTATAGCGACCAATGTGATGCTATGACCTCGTTGCATCATATTACAACCGACTCGCATGACACGTTTATGCAGGATAGCGGATATTTGAATTGTTTCAAGCAATCATATCTAGTCCACTACATGATTCCATTACGACCGACCGACTGGTGAATCCATCCATCAAAAAGACCTCATGGCAACCCGTTCTTAACCGCGTTATTTTGTTATCCGTCGTCCGGTGATTCAATTTCCACGTTTCTCAGGTTGGTAAACAGAATGGCAAACGCCGGAAAGATGTTACAATGGATAACGATTATAAGACGGCGAGGCTGGTGTGCGGTGTTGAGTATCCATTTTGCTAGCTGTTCAAAGTACTTATGCATGTGCTTGCCGATCCTTGCTGCTGTTTAAAGGAGATTTTCTACAATAATACCACGATAAAAGGTCAGCATATGTTTGCTTTGTTCTGATGCTCCTGCTGCCACTCGGAACGTAAGCAAACCAAGAGCAGAGCGGTTCATGTTCAATTAATTTACATAATGCAGCACAGAACTGGTGCGCGAAATATATCTGAAGAGATGTATCCAGTAGTGTTCATGCGGTAGACCTAGTTGTCACCAACCTTTTCGGTTTTGCTTACGATGATGAAAGCCGATCTGCAAAACAGTCTTCGTGATTGCGTAAAACTACACATTTAAACGTCACTATTTGGAACAAGTCCATCTACAAACACCACATCAATTTAGTAAGCCATTGTGGACAGGGTTGGCAGGTGAAAGTACAACAAACGTGTAACAATGTAAGGAAAGAAGATATATTTTGATGATATTGCATGCTAATGGATGGCAAACGAAGTAGCTATGGTTACCAACACTGCATACATGCTCATTGCACGGCGAATGCCAATCTATGGCGTACCCGATCACTCACTCATTAGATTATTGCTTTCTTACCGCTACGGTCGAAGCGCCATCCGCAAGCTTCCGGCCTGCTAAAAGAAGAGCATATTCGCCAAGCGTCCGTCGACAAAGGATATATTAAGATTCTCATTTTTTTGGAGTTTGGCTATCAGTTGACTCCACAAAAATCCTTTTCTTGTCCGCGGCAATTATGTTGCTCATTGTCTTCACCTTCTCCAAAATGCCAAGTTCCTCAGGATATGTGTTCTGCAGCATTTGTGTAAGGTCGTCTAGAAAGGGTTTGGTCACAGGCTTCAGGGTCTTAGTATGGATTGCTTCTTTAAGCCATTTTACCAAACTGGCATTTCCATATTTCTCCGTCAATAGCGATAGAGCTGAATATCGTGACCTTCCCTTTCCTCTTCCTTCTTCCACGTTAAAATGATCCACATAATTTAACCAAAAAGCAAAACAATCCGATTCAAAAATATTCCCCTCGATATTGTTAAGCTGAAGATGGGCGGCATTGGGTATCATGCTACTTTCATACCATGACACCAACAGATCCTTTACCACTCTATGCAGGACTCCATTTCGGTCGCGTAGTGGGTTATTGGACGTAGCGTGCGCGATCTTTACCAACTGTGTGTCGTCAAAAAATTGCCTCATCTATGGGAGTAGGGAAACCTGCTTTTTGTAGAGTTCATCCACATATTAAGACCACTCTGGTAAATAAGAACCTGCATAAAGCTTCATGCCAGCTTTGTTAATATCTAAAAGCTTGAAGACAACCGTTGGGCTTGCATTAATTTTCAGCCACTGTTTGCGCGCACCGTCAAAGATTTTGGGCTTTACATGGGATCCAAAATTGCTATCAAGTACTTCAACAAGTTTACTTGACTGTCAGGGTGTTTTTGATTGTATCAGTCCATGTAGCTTTTCCAGTATGCGAACTCTGGTGTGGTCAGAAAATTGGCGTTATTCCTGCCAAACGTTTTGAGATCCAGCTCATAGAAAACCTGTTGGGGTGTTTCGTCCTTCTCCATCGACAACTTATAACGCTCTATCAGCTCTAATCGATCCGTATCCGCCGTAGTAGCATCACGGCTCACGTAATCTCTTTTCGGCTTAAAGTACGTGCAGAATGTGTCATAAAAATTGGGGTTTCCTCCGCGGGGCGTTCTTTCTTGTAGAGTACCACGTAGTGGATTCAATTTATCAGCATCGGGTTGTCCAGAAGATTATCAACATTTGTGAAAGTGTTGAAGTGCAACTTGTCGAAATGTCCTTGGGCGATTTCTTATGAAGCCGCCAATCCTCCAATATTTGATCATCTGCTAGCCCGCAGTCCGCGTACATTGTCAGGATTTCTTCAAAACCGTAACGTCCGAAGTAATAGATAATAGTATCGTAGAGCGTAGATTGTTCGGCGTATAAGTCGTTGTAACGATCCTTGTATTTTTTCCAATTTTAGGAAGCTTGTCTCGGCAAAAGTAGCGTATTTTTTGGCGGTGTCAAGCCATAAATTTACAAAGGCAAAGTCTGTGAATGTCATCCCGAAGCCATTGGCCAAGTTTAGCTTCTAATTCCACACGTCTCCCATCGTGCTGACTTCAGCAAGAACATTGCCTCTCTCCTCTTCTTTCTCGTGCGCGAAGTCGTGTTCATTATTCCGAGTTGACGTGCTCGTGTTTGCCTCGAGCTTGTCATGAAGAATAACCTCCTCCTTTCCTTCCTCTTGGGTCTTCAATAACCTTGTACAAGAAGATGATATTTAACTGTACTGCATCGTCTCATGTCATTGCCATCTGTATGAAGCGCCAGGAGAGTGGCAAGATTCCAGAGTGGGAAGAAATATGCTCCGTTGCTTGTGCTGTACAGAACATGCATCTCGTCGCTACTGCTTACGACATTGGTGCGTACTGGAGCTCAGGCCACCTATTACAATGTCGCAGGAGATGAAGGGCTATCTTCAACTTGCCGAGGCGGACAAGTGCTTGGACTGTTTTACGTGGGCGTGCCTAAGGAAAACGCCAAGATTGCGAAGGGTGTTCGCAAACCAATTGGCGAGAAGGTCACGTGGTTTTGATGATATTGTAAAACTATTTGCAAGTTTGTTTGATGCTACTACGTAACATTCAGCTGTGTGAGAGTAGTCACGCTAGATAGAAAACAGAGCTACTGCTGACCAGAGATCACTAGAAACGGCCAATGTCCGTGTCGTTGGGCTGTCACTTCAGGATAAACGTATCAATACGTACGAGTGTAAGAAACAACCGTATACGCTGCTCGAATGTGTTATTTCTACCTAACACTGGTCATCCACGGTCTCAACATAGTGCTGCGTTGTAGCTAAAAAGCTCCTTGAAAGATGCTAACTAGCCTTGTAGAGTGGCAAAGACCCTAAGAGTCGCACAACGCCATTATTCCTGGTTTTGTCAGGCTCCAGAGCGCATGCGTAAGCTAGCAGTTGAATCCCACTTTTAGCCGCAACCGCACACAGTTCTGCAAATTTCTTGTCGTGCTGGAAGGATGGAGCGAACTCGTTGCAATCGTCGCGCTGTACCAGGAAAATTATGGTACCACTCAGCTTGCATGTTGAAGTCTTCTTCTCCTGGCTTCCTTGAACCTTAGCGGTTGCGGACAGTAGGTCGGTTAATTCAGTAACATGTTTCTGTGCTCGAACCGAGATCGTGTCAGGGAACATTGCGCACCGCGATGAACTCTTATGAAATCTGCTCACCGCTAACGTAACGCTTTTCACTTCGAGATATTGCTCATGAATAATGGCGCCATCCTTGGCATTTGTCGTCAACACAAAGTCCACACGACTGTTCTTAGCAAACTTTACCTCGCGCCGTACAGAGTCATAGTGACCAAGCTCTGTTAACCACCGAGATGCGAGCGCGTGCTCAACCATTCGATTCGCAGAAGCCGAGTGCACGCCAACCCACACGTTTCTTTCTCCATTCTGCAACAACCATACAATTCAGTATGCCTAAATGAATGACCATTTTAACAATATCGATTACATACATATATCTGGATCATCTCAAGCGTGTACGCGTACTTGCGCTTCGGGTCGCTACTCTTGGACAATTGCACACGTGCATTCGGTAATCCTTCCAGAAGTCCAACCATCGGTCCAGTATTCGGGCAATATACAGTCACTATCGATGTAGCATTGGGTTCCACACTTCCATCATCTTCTGCTACCGACTTCTTCTCACCAACAGTCTCAACGCCTTCGTCCTTCTTAATTTCATTGAGAAGGACGACATCGGCTAGAAAGCGCTTGTAGCGACGAAGTAGTCGCGCCGGTACTAAATTTGAATACTTGAGCAGAACTTTATGGTCGTTTGAGTTGTTTTCTATACGTTTTTTCAATGCTGTGAGCACCGGGAACTTGGAAGGGGTCGGTGCTACGACAGAATTTGCTGGAAAAGACGTCTTCTTCTCCTTTACTGCTTTGTTTTTCTGCAGAGAAGAAGAGGAGCAACTACTGGTATTGGGCGTTGTAGCAATTGAGATAAAATCACGTTTTCGACTGCGTAATGGTATCGTTGAAACAGTCCTGCCGACACTTGGAGACCTTGCCATGTTTTTACGTCGTTGAGATTGCTTGTCAAGAATGACGCGAAAGATTGGATGGAATTCAGTTTTGACAACAGTTGATACATTTTCCATCTTGTACAGTCTATCGAAAGAATTTGTCCAAAGTAGCTGAGAGATAAATAAGTACATACATACCATGCTTGACATAAATTACTTTCATACGTCTTAGTGCCGGACTGCATGCCAGGAAATAGCATCAAATATGCCCCAACACACGTGGATTTTTGTGCACCATGGTTGGTTTGTAAGAAATTGCATCTAGTTGTCTAGCAGTTTCTGGCGACGCGAAAGAACGCGTTTTTTCGGTAGCATTAGGGACGCATGAGAGGCGGCGAAGAGGTGTCTGAAGAGTCAAGGGTGACGCTAGAGAGTGGTTGGTGCAGGAAGATCGCAGCTAGCTATCCCAGCAAAAGCGACAAAGGTAAGCGATAAAGACAGAATCTATTTCACCTATTACAACTAACGTTCATCCTGTCCTACATAGTTGCCAATCTAAATGCAACCAAGGTATGTAAGCTACCGAGGGAATGTAATTGAAATTTGTGCTCACGATGCATGTGTATGATGATCAAACCCCAAGCAAAAACATTTCGGCGTCAAATGGAAGTTCCGATTCAGGAAATGGGACTTTATGCAGGTCAACAAGTGGCGACCGCTAAATAGTGTGCTCATTCTCATATCACAAGTTACATTATTTCGATCCAAACTCGGTTTCCCACTCTTTAAACCGACGGAGTTGGTCGTGCCCTACTGACTTAGAAACGTTGTCCAGCGCTTCAGCGAAATCTGCCTAATCCATGCCACATGTAGACAAATTTTAGTTACACCTTGATAGAACGAAACCAAACATCTTGTTCCACATGTGCACCTTAGTGACCACAAGTCGTTGTGTCTCAAGTTCACGAAATTTTTCGCCTACTTCCATCTCTCGCCGCATCTTAAGAAGTAACTCGGGAGTGTAGACCCTTTCTACAGGCATCCGCTTGGCTAGCGCATAGCAACAACATATGTAAGTAACATGACGTCAATGAGCTATACTACATGTACGGTCATAACATTCAAGTGCTTGCCTGTTACGCAGACATTCGTGATGTCGTCACCGCTATAGCCCTGTGAAGTACGCGTAACAACGGAGATTAGAATAAACAGGCAACAGGCTAGCGCAAATATGCTCATACCTCCGTTTCCTGGACAAGATCGTCTAAATCAACATCCAAGTCCAGGTCAATTTGACCCAGATTCAATTCAAAAATTTCTCGGCGTGCTTTCGTTTCGGGAAAGGGGATGTAGACACGCTTTGTCAGTCGCCGCCGCATAGCCTCATCAAATTCCCAAGGAAGATTAGTAGCCGCAAGAAGTATCACTTGGCTGCCAGTGTGCTCCCGAGATGACACGCCATTAATTTGAACAAGAAGCTCCGTTTTTACCTGACCGTACAACCAAGGGTCCATAAGAACAAATTCACAACGCTCATTGTTGTCATGCACTGTAAAAACCTCCGGCTTGCTTTATGTTTAGTTGCAGCACCTCGAGTCGACGCAATGGCGTCAATTTCATCCATAAAAATAATGGATGGCTCATAGTAGCGCGCCATATAAAAAGTTCTCGCACCATTTTTTCCGCGTCACCACAATACTTTGACGCCAGTGTTACAGCAGGAACATTGACAAAAAGTCGTTCTGCATTCATGTGCAACGGCCTAGCATTCAAGTCAAGTTTTTTTTGGTAAGGTGATCCCTAAGGTAAAAGTCGAAGTCCAATGCGAACGCGTCTCTAGTGAAAATGAGAACCTTTGCAAGAAGCGTTTTTTCAGTTCCCTGGGGGACCATACATCACGACGCCATTGCATGGTTTCAGCTGTCCATCCTTTCGAAATACAGCACCTCATTATCGCGTGAAGCCGCTTTCTCACGCCCTCAGTCTTCACATCAGGCGCCTACGCGTCGACAAGGGAAGACACATCGGCTATGTTCCCACTGGTACCAGTGAGCTGCAGCAGTAAACGCGTGCGACCCCCGCAGCTCCTAGATCCACGTGTACGTGTGAGAATTTTGTAAATTCGTTTCTAAAACCTAGTAAATTAGTAAATTTCTTGCCGCCGATTGTTTTGCTTGTTCCTATGTGTGTGATGGTGCTCCCGGTTTCGTTTGTTGTTGTTGTGTGTAGCCGCTCGTGAAATGCATCTACCTTCAGTCTAGATGACTAGGGATCGTGGCGTTGGAGGGGGGCACAGTACCCCTTGTCGACGTATCAGCAACGAAAGAGGATACCCATCGCAGTGGGATCCTGGCTGATGAAGTCACGCAATACGGGCGAGTGTAACATCGTGACAAGTATCGTATGCTATCGGTTCTGCTGGTCAGGGTCGTAAAGGCGACGAATAGTGTGGCGAAAGTGAGTGCAAGCTGTCAAATCGAGATATTCGTTGAGGTAAGCTGGCGGCTTAGCAATCGCGAAATGATCACGGGAAAAGCACGTTGAAGCTCGACGTGGATTTGCAGGTGAGTGAATTTCTGAGAGCTTATCTCTATCAGGTTACATGTGGCTGCTCGCTCCACTGTCGAATAACCATCCAGCTGTCGTCCAACAAGGCGCAGTAAAGGTCCTTCTTATCCAGGTGGCTTCTTTTCCACTTGATCAGCCTTGCAGTCCTGTCGCTTGTGGCGATATTGGTTGCAAGGGTCACATTTTCCCAGAAACTTGCCATCTCTTGCACTGCGAGGTCCATTCTAAAACTGTGATATATGCGTTATCATCAACGCAGATTCACGTTGTTACATTTTTAACATCTCATCTTACACCCGTCTCAGCATTTCCTCGCCTTTGAAACAGTGTCTGCTAGGTATGATCACAATTATCTTGACAATAGAATAATATTACTACGCAAAAGGATCGCCAAATGCTCATTTAGTGAAATTTCTTGGCCGACGGCTTGCATAGTCATGCACAGCTCGTCGACTTTCGGAAAGTGATCCATAATGCTTCCTCCCTTCGCCAACCTGAACTCATGTTGTTGCCGTGGAGGCTGCACACGATCGTTCATGCTTTGTCACAGAGATAAATTCTTCAGTATGTCCCATGCCTCTACAGTCGAATTCGTCGGGCGTACTATTGACTGCAGATTCGTAATGATCATTGTTGTGACGATAGTGAACGCCTTCATGTCGTTGACTTCCCAAGTTGACGCAGTTACGTCTCCTTTTCCTGGGGTCTTCATAGCATCCAAATGATCTAGCAACCCTTTCTTTGCCAGCCTCATCCTTGCGCCGAACTCCCACACAAAATAGTTATCTTCGCAGAGTATGTCGCTTGCGTCTAACGCAGTTGGGCTCATAACGTATTATGTTCATGAAGAGGGCCAATGGTCTTTAAATCTTTAGCAGCTAGAAGTAGGTAAAACGAAAATGAATCAATGTTAGCTAGGTCCTTCGTTCGCTACGCTGCACTAAGTCGAAGCCTATTCATATCAATGATACGTTCAGGAACGTATTACAGTATCGAAGGAATAAAGTGGTGTTGGCTTGACTTACTGCATACTGTCGTAAAAATGTGGACTAAACTAATGAAGCTGAGTGTACTTTATGTCTTAAGTGAACTAGAAGCTCATAGCTGAATATACGACAGAGCGGCAGTAAACGTAACTACTCTGAAAGCATATTGCACCGATCAGTTACTAATTCATACTCACGTTTTGTCGCTAACTTGTTAAACTCATCTCCAATTCCCGCCAAAAAATAGCGAGACACGCGCCAGAAATAGCAATGCGCGAAGTCTAAATTCTCCAATTAGACACTTGCAGTTCTTGTATTTCATCCAATCGCCAACGTTTTCCACCTTTCACGTCCATATCCACCCAGTCAATCAATCAGTCTTGAATCTAATCAGTTCAAGTAACATCAAACAACCCCATGTACGTCATCAAGCGCGATGGTCGTCGTGAAGACGTCAAGTTTGATAAGATAACGGCGCGTATTACAAAACTCTGCTATGGTCTTAATCCAGATTACATTGATGCAATAAAGATATCGCAAAAGGTTGTGGCCGGTGTGTACCCTGGTGTCACGACATCCGAGCTGGATGAACTTGCTGCTGAGACAGCTGCTTATCAGAGTACCCAGCATCCTGATTTTTCTAAATTAGCAGCACGTATTGCAGTATCTAATCTACACAAGAACACAAATAAAGTCTTTAGTGACAACATTGAACTCTTTCACAGGAATGTTCATGAAAAGACAGGCGCAGCTGCTCCACTTGTAGCTCCTGATGTCTATGAGATTGTCATGAAACACAAAGATGAATTGAATTCTGCCATTATATACGACCGGGACTTTGAATATGATTATTTTGGTTTTAAAACACTTGAGCGAGGATATCTCTTTCGTGTGAATGGTAAAGTCGTCGAACGACCACAGCAAATGATTATGCGTGTTGCATTAGGAATTCATAAGAGCGATATTCAAGCAGCACTTGAGACCTATGAACTCATGTCTCAAAAGTTTTTTACCCATGCAACGCCAACGTTGTTTAATGCTGGAACGCCACGTCCTCAATTATCCTCGTGTTTTCTATTAGCCATGCAAGATGACTCGATTGAAGGCATTTATGACACATTAAAACAATGTGCATGCATTTCAAAGTGGGCTGGTGGTATTGGTATTAGTATGCACAATATACGAGCGACTAATAGTTACATTCGTGGAACTAATGGTTCCTCGAATGGGATTATCCCAATGTTACGCGTTTTTAATGATACAGCTCGATACGTTGACCAAGGTGGAGGAAAACGGAAAGGGTCGTTTGCTATTTACTTAGAGCCATGGCATGCCGACGTGTTTGAGTTCTTGGATCTTCGAAAAAACCACGGCAATGAATTGCACCGAGCGCGTGACTTGTTCTACGCACTGTGGGTTCCTGATCTGTTTATGAAACGGGTGGAAGCCAATGGCAAATGGAGTTTATTCTGTCCAAATGAAGCTCCTGGTCTCTACGAGTACTGGGGAGACGAGTTTGAGACGCTTTATGAAAAATATGAGCAGGAGGGACGTGCTCGCAAGACAATCAATGCGCAGCAGTTATGGTTTGCCATCTTGGATGCGCAGATTGAGACAGGTGTACCCTTTATGCTCTTCAAGGATGCGGCCAACCGTAAGTCCAACCAGCAAAATCTTGGCACGATCCGATCCAGCAACTTATGCTGTGAGGTGATGGAGTACACGTCGCCGGATGAGGTCGCTGTGTGCAACTTGGCGTCTGTGGCTCTGCCGAAGTTTGTAGAGGATGGTGTCTTTGACTACAAGAAGTTGTATGAGGTGACCAAGGTGGTCACGCGTAACCTAAACAAGGTCATTGACGTCAACTACTACCCAGTTGAGGAGGCTCGAAAGTCCAACATGCGCCACCGCCCTGTGGGCATTGGTGTTCAGGGTCTAGCCGATGCTTTCATTCTTATGAACTACGCGTTCGAAAGTGAGCAGGCTCGTGAGCTGAACAAGAATATCTTCGAGACCATTTATTATGCGTCGATGGAGACATCCATGGAGATTGCCAAGGAGCTGGGTCCGTACGAAACATTTCATGGCTCCCCGGCCAGCAAGGGTATCTTTCAGTTCGACATGTGGGGTGTCACGCCTTCCTCTGGTCTCTGGGACTGGGCGACCTTGAAGGAAAACGTGATCAAGTACGGCATTCGCAACTCCTTGCTAGTGGCTCCTATGCCTACTGCATCGACTGCCCAGATCCTAGGCAACAACGAATCCATTGAGCCGTACACGTCCAACATGTACAACCGACGTGTGCTTGCTGGTGAGTTCACAATCGTAAACAAGCACCTGATGAAAGAGCTGATCGATCTTGGTATCTGGACACCGGAGGTACGTAACAAAATCTTAAATGACGGTGGTTCTGTGCAAAAGGTGAAGAGCATTCCGGACCATATCAAGGAGAAGTACAAGACAGTGTGGGAAATCAAGCAAAAGTTGGTATTAGATCTGTCGGCTGACCGCGGTGCTTACATTTGCCAGAGTCAGTCACTGAACATTCACATTGCCGATCCAACAATCAGTAAGCTCACTTCCATGCACTTTTACGCTTGGAAGAAGGGGCTTAAGACGGGCATGTACTACATGCGCGGGCGTCCAAAAGCCGACGCTATTCAATTCACCGTGGACAAGCAGGGCATTGACCTGCAGCGTGTTAAGGAGGACAACAAGGCTGCCGTAGAGTCGATACCAGTCGCTGTGGTCGAGAATGTAAGTCGAGCAGGCGACGATGAGGATGACTGCCTGGTTTGCGGTGCCTAAGCTCGCGAAAGCATAATGTTTAGCTGCCATTGCGTCCGTCCGTACATTCTTAGGCTCAAAGCGATATACTTTGAGTATCAATATAATTGAGCAGCGCTGCTGCACCGTAAATTCACTTCGCAGCAGTAGTATAAAGGAATTCAAACCATGGCAAGAACACAACTACTTTAATCGTGTTGATGCTTATACAAACGTTAATAAAGACACGGATGCTCTAGCGGCGACGATGTCGATTGAATCGAAGGCTTAGTACACCAATGACGAGGATCTGCAAAATGGCCGAGTAACATGCTAAAATGATCATGTCCATCCAGATATTCACTTTATCCATGCCGTAGCTCTTAAGAATTTGCCACGCTTCGTCTGTATTGACCGCTGAAAAATGTTCGTACATGAACGACTCGAACGAGTATGTGTGAAAAGCAATGTAGTAGCCCCATTTCCAGTATACGGGCATATCTGCGAACGGTACCATGAAGCCTTCGCAAAGCATAAACATACCGAAGAGACCAGCACCCAATGCAATGCCCATAATGTAGTGAGGTACAGCAGCACCAAGCAAGTGCATCAACGACTCAGCGGCGACAAGCGACAATGTCAAGTTGATGAGGAATGTATAAAACGTTTGCACACGTGCCAGGAACACCACGATAACGGAAGCTAGTACGGAGATGAGAAAGATACCCGGCAACGAAGCTAGCAGGTTTGACATCGTGTAACCAGTGAGCGACAAAGCGTATGCGCGCATTTCCCTTTCCATAACTGCTCGGTGCTCCAGCAAAGCCGGAAGAGCGGCAACGGACATAAACACCAAAAAGGCTTGTACGTAGAAGAGCAGTGACACAATGGACGTGGCCTTAATCTCAGCGTTGGAGCTCAAATACATGGTGCCTACCATCAAGGATAGCAACACGTACATGAGCACACGCAGCCAGAACACACCCGGATGTCTCCAGTTGTTTGTCATATTACGCTTGAGCAACACAAGAAACTGATCCATTGGCCACGGTCGCATGGCTTTGAGCAGTTCAGGGTTGGCAAGATGATCACGGCGAGATCGATCTCGAACAACATCAGCACGAAGACGCTGTGGTTCCGCACTTTCCTTCAGCGCACGGACAAACGGTTCGAGCTTCAATCCATCGTGAAAGTTTGTATTCACTAAATGAACAAAGTATTCCGCCGGGTTCGTGTACATTGGACACACGTATCCCATGGCGAAAAAGTGAGCAATGGCAGCATTAGTAGGTCCGCTGTACACCAACTCACCACCACTGAGAATAACGAGGTTGGTAAGCATGCCGTAAATAGAAGAAGAAGGCTGGTGGATCGTACACACGACGTTCTTGCCACCTTCTTGACACAAGCGCTCAATGTATTGCATGACACCACGAGCGGAAGACGAATCCAATCCGGATGTCGGTTCATCAAGGAGAAGCAAAGCAGGGTCTGAAAGCAATTCTAGAGCAATACCAAGACGTTTGCGTTGGCCGGAAGAAATACCTTTGTGGAAAATGTCACCTACTCGAGCGTTAGCGCATGAACGTAATCCCATGGCGTCAATTACATCTTGAACACGAGATTCTCGCTGCGCTGGGGGCATGTGTCCGGGCAAACTCAGCCCAGCACCGATCTGTAGGGTCTCCAAAACTGTGAATGCTCCGAGGAAAGCCATATCTTCGGATACATAGTTCATGATAGAGTGAAAAGTGCGCAGGTCACGTGGTTGACCGTTCACTTCCACGAGACCTTCCAAATGTACACCCGAGCCTGCTGACAGCACTCGGTCCGCGAGCATACCAAGCAACGTAGTTTTACCAGCACCAGAAGGTCCTAATATTGCAGTAATCTCTCCCGGTCCTGATCGGCCCCAAACATTGTTGAGAATCTTGCGAGGCTGTTGCCTCTCGAGCTGCGCCTCAAGTTGGGACGACCCTGATCCGCGCTTGCTAGTGTTACGAAAACGTCCTAGCTTTTTCTTCTTGGGCTTAATGAAGTACGAAATATGCTGCCAACTGATGGAGCACGTCTGTAGTGCCGCACGTTGACGGAATCCTTCCGTCGACAGGTCCGAATGCTGGTCAAAGAGTGCAATTTTGGGCTTCACTGGCACGTTGTGATTATTAAACGCGTGTGGAGCTGGTCCTTTTATCGTGTCAAAGTTTCCATACGAGGTACCAGGTGACAATGCTCCGTTTTGGTCGAGTGTATGAGTACTACCAACGTCATTACGAGACGCTGGGGCCCCAAGTACCGCTGTAGTCTCGGACCCGTCTAAACTCAATGGCGTATGGCTTGAAGTTGAGACCTGTCGACAAATTGGTGCACCACCGTCCGAATTCATTGCTAAGACTACTAGAATATCACAATATATATATATAAAGTCAAGACACTCGTTTGAAAACACTTTCTTTGTCGAGAGATGGTCTTTTTCGTTTGTGAGAGAGCTCGAATGATGCTAAACGTTGGTAAAAAACAGTGTTAACAGTCGATTGGATGCTTGACGCGTAGGAGACCAACTTGTCCCATCTGCTGTGGACAGTGCATTTACTCATACAACATGTGTTAGTGCTTGTCGTGCGTAAACTAGACAAGACCATCTCGGAAGATAGGCGTCGTCTTGCACTACCATCCGTCCCCCCAATAACGAATGCTATCCAGTTATTGGACATGAGCTCCACAAAAGTAGTGGAACGGGGGGTAGAGAGGTACATACTGGACGGCGGACCACACAATGCATGAAGGCCTCAACCATTTCCATTACATCGCGTCAGCACTTTTTTTCAAGCGGATACATTGAATGTATCGATGGGAAGATTGAAACGTATGGATGTGAACAGATTTCTTTTACCTCGGACTACTGCTGCATGCTGTATTTGTAAGAGCAGATGATGCGTCAAAAGTTTTGGCTAAAGTTTCAATCGAGCTTCAACATATGACGTAATAACATTCATGTAGCGCTGCTATATCTAAGCCACTGGACACTGGGAACGGTGCTACGAGCAAGATGGCGGATGGCTATGTTTGAAACAGCTTGCATGCGGTGGTTACATTCTGGCACGTGGAAAAACGAGTACAAAACACGTTAGATAAGCAAGATCATCTGCAGGGCATCGTATAAATTGTCGCGGTGTCTCAAAATATCAATCGAAGATTCGTTCGAAGCGTATAATCATCTTAAAACATGTTCAGTATGCGAGCCAGGTCCTTTTAGATCATATGCGCTGTATTGCGCTGTTACAAATCGAGTCCATCGTGAAAGAAGCCGGTTAAATGACAAGCACGTGGCCACCCCGAGATTCAAGCCGGATCATACCAATTGAATCACGTCAAGTACATAATGTTTTGTCATACTGTCACTTATTGTTGTATGATGCCATTGCCAACGTCCGAGACTTGTTTTCATACTGCAACCGTCAGGACAGTGGTCAACGCCATGTTGAGGATTCAGTCCTGGTTAATAGAGAGAATCCCTATAATAAAAACCGCCGCATCATGCGAGTCGCACGACAGTAGTACTTTCCAGTGCTACTGTCTCTTGATCTGAGGGCTGGGGCAGGATGACATCGCTGTATCGTCATATCGCCATATCGCTCCACTGAAACTTGGCTTTAACAGGCTGCTGCTCCTGATACATACGTACACATTTTTAGGCAGAGAATGCATTACATTTCATGTCATGTAGCATATGCACTTTGTCTCCAAAACGATCCCTCTAGTGCATAAATCTTATGTGTTACATAAACATCAAATATCATGTAAGACGAGTACCAAGCGCTTGGTCGGGAAAACATATCACTCTTATCTTCAAAGATGTGGCAAACGTCTTTTTTTCTTCCAGAAAAAAACTAAGCAAAGCTTCTAGTAGGACTTCACATTGTCATCCAATACTATCCACTTTCTGCTAACGCAATGTTGACAATGTTTGGCTTGGACTTGCAGGTCAACTGAAAAATAAATATGTGGATGTCTAATGTTCCAGCAAGACGATGGATGTCCCACCGTCAAGCATCAGTATTGCTGGATTGCATGAATCGTGCTATTACAGTGGAAATGTAAAACATTAACATCAAGGATGTCTGCTGTTGACCAGAAGAGCCGCTTTGGCTGCTAATTAAATATAAATGCATGTCACGTCTTATTTCTAATACAAGATAAGTAATATACATTATACTTCCTATGTGCCTGTCTAGTACGTAATGATTCAATGCGACGCCAGGTTCTCGCACAAGAGCATTGACTACAGACTTTTTTTTGAAGGGCCTTCCAAAATTTAATCAAGTCTTGTTGTCACAATGTCCTCGTCTCAAAAAGCTTAGAGCTTTGATTGCGTCCAATTGTCGTAGCAAGCATGGCGTTTTTAGAGCGGTTGTAGCTGTGATGGGATGGCGTAAGTTGTAGGGAAAGGTGGTGGCTACCTGTTCAGCAAAGATACAAGCGGCGGCACTAAATAAACGGCAATACCATCAACGATAAGGTTTATACAGTTCAACAAGAATTGCAACAACAATCTGTCAATATCGTGCACATCATCCTTGGTCTAGGGTGGCAGTATAACCTTGCTAGACGGCGTTCGTGATGGGGCTGTCGATTGTCTGCTTCAAAATCACCGACGTGGTTCCAACGTCTTCAATGAATACAAGTTCTTGTCTTTTTCGGCAAACTCTAGACGCTTTTGGGCCTTCAACAACATGCGCATCTCACGTTGGTTATCGTGATCGATCTTGAGGCCCTTCTTAATCGGCTTGAAGGCGTTTTCTTCATTCAAATTCAGCACCGTAAAGTAGCTAACAGACCAACATACGACATTGATCATGAAGTTGCGGCCTCGTGTATACGTGAAACAGAGAAAACGCACCCGCTGTGAGACTTCTGCTCCCCACCGCCTACTACGGAGTTAACAAACACTTCAACCTCAACCTCCAAACGATAGCGACTACGATCAACTCACCAAAAATTCACCAGGTATCAATATAATCAAAAAATCCAAGTAGTGACCTAATGAGCGATAGTAACTTCGCACCGAACATTAACAACGCGGGCGCGCGCCGTGACGACATCTGAGACTGATATTGGGAGCTTAAAAAGCACGCGATTCATTGCAATCGTCACCATTTTTTCCGACTTTGTAAAGTTCTGTGCACAGTACAACGCAGCACGGTCCTGCAAACAAACCACAATTTGCATTAAGTCGTTTTCTTGTTTTTCACCCCAACAGCAAAACTTCACCACACCATCCAAGTGAGCAGGTCACCACCAAAAACAGTCTCGTTGATATTAAGATTGCGTGGTAAGAACCAGTTGCGTACTTCGATCTCCGTCTCCATCACAGCAACGTATTCTGTCTTGGATTTCCCTGGCAGCAAGTCAGTGTTTTTGATGAAAGGGATATCGTCTACTGCATCTTGTTCATTCCTCCATCTCTTGGCTAATTCTTTCCGCTGGTTTGCTACCTCCTTCATCTTGAGACAATATTCTGCCCGATCGGCATCAAAAAGCTGCGGAAGTCCTTTTCTCGGTCGTCCAAAGCGATTAATGGCTACCATCGTAATCAAAGCATCGTGCGTATGCTGAAACTTGCCACTGGGGATGTCGTGACGGTAACCGCTTACTTGCACTGCCATTGATGAGTTACTGAGACCGATAACCTCGCCTTCCACACGCACCAGATCTCCATGGAATACTGGCTTGACTAAGTCCACTCGATCAAATGAGATAGTAGCAGTGTGGCCCAAGGATATTTTCTCGAGACGAAATTGTGCCAGCAAGCACGTCCATCAGCTCTAAAATAGGACCAGTACGAAGCCATCGACCTTTTTGACTTTCATCGCCCTAATTGAAAAATGGAGTGCCTATTAGCTCTTTAACGTGGTATCAAGACGTGAGTTTTTAGCAAATAAATGTGTTTAAAAGTACAATAATATCAGTAAATGCAAGTCGTGTGTCCTTTGCGCGCACTTGTGCAGGCATGCGACGCATACGCCATATATCGTGCATCGTTCCTAGTAGGTTTTTTAACGCCATATTTGAATGACGTTTCTATCTTTTTGACTCTATTTTCACTGCTCTAACTTATTTCTGTTTTATCAATAGAAATAAGGACACAAAATGTGTACAAGGCGTTGTTTTCTGACCAGTGTCCAGAAGTACAAGTCAGAAGCTTCATGGTCTAAAATGAACCTATACGCAATAATAGTGTTCATTGTTGTCCGACAAAGTCATCTTGTCAAACAAACAATGCACCAAACTTCTTTACGTTTGAGTTACTCCATTGACCAGCAATGAAGCTAGTAACTGATACTACTAAGAATCTTTTGCTGTCCTATATCTCTGTAAAAAACATCTTGCAAACGTTGACATCCATGCGATATCCCGATGGGATAGCTATAAAGTTCCGCCTTGGCGCCGCTGGGTTCGATGATATCGACATACGCGTAGTGCACATGGAGAGCATATGACGGCTTCAACTCGCTTACTGATGTTGTGAGACTGCATTCATGCGTAGCCTCTGCATCAATATTGTACTACTTCTGATTAAGTCAAGGATATCACGTCTGACAGTTATACCGAGTCGATGAATGCGGCGTGATAAGTCTCAGCCATGGCGCTGCGTACCCACCTGTGGCGTATTGATTACCTACCTGTTTAAAGACTTTGCTTACCGATAAGCAAGGAATTCTAGTTGCACAGCATCAGTGCTCATCATTTATTAACACGGGCTTTCGTTCGAACACAAACGCTAGTGGTAACTCAATAGAAGAAGAGCCCTTTACTAACGATCTCTGTCTACTAGAGACAACCTTTATCCAAGATCATTTAGAACTCGTACAGACATGGGGGCTCTGTCGTCGTCTCTTTTGCTTGAAGCGTGTGACAGAAACCAAATGTCACTGTTCACTTAAGAGGAACATCTGCGAAATCCAGTTTGCAATGTCTCGTTCGATAACAATGATACTCCTTCTCTGCATAAATGTAGCCTTCAGTCTTTTTTATATTGAGATTCGCGAGGTAGAACAACATGAGGCTCGTTTGAGCTCGATTGGTGTCAATTCGCGCCCGACGGAGCAGACGACCAGATCAGTCCAAACATTCTCGTTCCATCGGCAGCACAAGCGTCGTTGTGACCATGAATTGTATGGACAAGATTGATGGTGATTGCTAGCATTTATGATGTCAACAACCCGATTTACCAGAAATATTGAAGAGAGCGCGACGTCAATTCTAAGATTACTGACAGCCATCTCGTCACGTAAAGATCTGACAATGGAGAGTAACAACAATTGTACAATATCATGACTCACAATGAAGTAAGCCATACATACTCAATGAATTCGTTAATCCACCGTGTGGTCGTAGTGAGCAATGTAGTGACTTCTAATAGTGGTTAGCATAGGTGGTGTCTAGAATCGTTGTCAACTGGTGTCGTCCAATGTGATACTTTACACCTTTCATAATACATACAAAAAATAAGCTGTCAGTTTGCATTGCAAAAACCACACTTTACCAGTCTATCAGTTGCGTCGATACTCTATGTATTTTGATATATCCAAAGAACAATAATCTCTATAAATCTAATACCCTGTAATAATAAGTACTTTTACTTTACAGCTGTTCATTATTTGACCTTAAACCAGTTTGTTCACTCAAGAACCTCATTACGAAATGGGGGCTGGTGATCGCCTTACAATACCGCGCTTCCTACGCGAATCATGTCGTGACAGATCTACAGATACAGCCCCTTCCTCTTCCTCTTCTCCTTCTTCTGCTCTATCTCTTACATCTTCAAGTGCAGCAGAAGCCGAAACGTCAATGGTTGAGGAGCTCCAACGACGGAAAGCCGCTTTTTTAGCTCATTTCAAGAGCAATAGCGCTTCCATTGCCAATGGAGAGGACACGACAGCACCTACAGCCTCTGACTTTCGCTCTAATCGATCAATTGATGCAATGATGACACCGCAAAGTGGTACAGATTCTAAATGTCACGTGTGCAATGTACCTCTTCGATTATTACGCGTTCGAGTGGGTTTTTTAGTCGAGAAATGTGTGATGGTATGGGTGATTGGGTTTTATAGTCTAATGATATGTATCACGTATATATGTGGTGTGTGAATGTTATTGTAGCATCGATGTCGTAATTGTGGACTTGCTGTATGTGGTGTACACAGTAAGAACCAAGTGCCATTGCCCCACTTGGGGATTATGAAGGAAGTACGAGTGTGTGACTTGTGTACGAGACACCTGGTACAACGTCGAGCGGGATATCGTAGTCCAAAGAGTTCGAGATCGAGACAAAACTCAAATCCAAATTATGCTGAACGAGAGAGCGATCCAGAGCTACCGCCTCTTACGGGCGAGAAAATGTCAATGCCGTTAAAGGAGTGTCTGCCATTGGTGGACAATATGGGAACAACACCAGGGACACCTGATGGTTGCAGTCAAACTGGCTTTAGCTTGAACTCGCCAGGCTCAGCAAACAATAATGTCAGTGCAATGCCTGGCATTTTGTTCAGTTGCTTATTGGAGGAACAGGACAACACTGTAGATGAGATCTTGTACTTAGGCACATTCACGATGGGAGGACGGTCCCTAGCGAGTCGTCGTATGAGCGCTAACGTGGCGTTGTGGAAGTGGAGAGTTTTCATGCTGACAACGGCAGAGATGCTGTGCTTCAAGGCGACTGGATCAATTACCGATGACGATAGTGTTCCATTGTCGGCTATGGCGCTGGGCGAAGTGCGATCGTCCGTCCATTTGTCGGATATTTTGCACATCGAGGTGAACGATCAATTTCCGCGTATTTTGACGGTGATCCGCTCCGATGGCCGAGTCTTCCGCGTGCGTGCGCGCACCCCTGAACAGTGCACGGAGATCGCGGTTACACTGCGTAAGGCTATGCAGCTTTTTCAGGACGCATTGTTTAAGCTGCAGCGTGGCCCACAGCCTGAGGACAATTCCATTAGTTGTGTAACTGTCCAGCACGAGTCATCGCTTCCCGAGTTTGTAGTAGCTAGCAACCCGGCCGTCGGCGAAGCGTTTCAAGTGGACATGTATCCCTCAAGTATTCTCCGCTTTTACGTAAACGGCCCTTCGGCTAACGGTACAGCGCTTTATTCGCGCGAGATGCTCACCCATGGAGACAAGGGTAGTTCGCCTGTTGTGGTAGAGGCCGAGCCATTGGGAAACGGCCCGCGCGATGATCACGTGCTTCATGTTGCAGTGAAATCTGAGAAGGCTTTGAACTACTTGGAAGGAGAAACTAATCGACGCTTCTGGGGGCTTACTTCATTTCTTGCGGCAGTTGCAGCAGTCATGAACTCGATGGACACAAGGTCTTTTGAGCTTTTAGCGGGACTATCGGCGCTTGTATTGCTCATTACTCGCTTCCACGAGCGCATCAGTTTGTTGCTAACGACTAAACGATTCTCGAGGGCAAAGCAATTGCGTATAGAATGTGTCGAAATTACGATGGGGAAGAGCGATGGGTCATCGATGGGTGACGATGACGAACAAGCCGAAGAGCTCGACAGTCGTTTTCTTGCTGGATGTGAAGGTGACGTAGAGGAAGCAAAGGAACGGTACGCTGCGACAATGAAGTGGCGAAAGGAAAAGGATGTGGACACGATTTTGCTGCGTCCGTCGCACGTGTTCACGGACATGAAGGAGTGCTTCACACACTTCATACACAAAAAGGATCGACAGGGCCATCCAATTACTTTCGAGTTCCTTGGCGGTCAACGGAAGGCGATGCACGATTTTATCGGTCGCGGTATTTCGGAAGATGAAGCAATCATGCACCATGTCCGTTTAATGGAGTTCATGTGGAACGTGATCGATCCGCGACCGTTCCCGGAGGGCACAATGCTCAAGGTCTATGATATCAAGGGAATTTCCATGGCTGATTTGTCGAGCGACGTGGTGAATTACACGAAAAAGTGGGGTGAAGTAATTGCCACGTACAATCCAGAGCGTGTCTACCAGGTGTTTCTCATTAATCCACCGAGTTGGTTCAACCTTATCTGGAAGCTAGTGTCACCACTTGTGAATCAGAAGACGCGTGAGCGTATTCACGTACTTCGTGGTCAGAAAGATATTACTAAAGCGCTGCTGGAGTTTGTTGCACCAGAAAATTTGCCAAAAGAATACGGCGGAGAGTGTCAATGTGAAGGTGGGTGTTTTACGCATTCACCGGAGGAAAATGACATTCGCGAGTGGACCGAGTTTGTCAATGCCAATTACCATGGTGACCCTCATGATCCGGTTCTTGTTAATGCATACAACAAACTATGCGAAAAATACCAGAAACAATTGCCACCTTCAAGTCCGAGCTACAACGGTCATGAAGTGCCAAATGTGACAACGCTTTAGGAAACAAAGGCCAGTGCTACATAATTATTAACAGTCTTGCATTCAAGAAGTGGCCAATGCTCGGCGTGTTTGCCCGATGAGGTAGCGATTTGCTACGAACACAAAAGTGTGTGCTTGTTAATTGCTGTTATCAGCAAGATGTAAGAGATCGACAAGGTGGCGAAGTGTAGGACGCCTGACAGGCATACATATCGGTAAACATATACGAAGGTCATGCAATGCAAAAAGTTGCGCATATAGGATAGTCACGTACCCATGAGGACAGTTCCAAGGCTGGTCCAGGCCCGACAGATTACGAACAATCTGCACGAGTGACACTTCATCAGCAACCTTTACATATACACAATAGCATTCCTTATCAGAACATACCTTTTGCATTTCCTCTTTGTGGAGAGCAGTGCCGATCATTATCGAGCTTCTGCACGCTCGCGATGCAAACATCGCCATCACTTTAGGCAATCGAATCGTAGATGGATTTAATGGTGCGTCCATTAGTAGTGACGCCAGTTCTCGAATATCTACAACAGTGCACGCATAGTGCATACAACATGTTGGTGAACAAGACAATCAATTTAACACAATGGCTTTACCTTCAATGCCAAATTGCGTGTGTTTCGTGAAAGGCAGTGACAGCAGCTTTAGTTTCTTCGTTGTTGGAGCGTCCTTGTCAACTAGAAACGTAAATCCATTCTTTGCAAAAACATCCAAATGATCCAAGATGATCATCTCTTCTCCGGCTGTCAGCTCCAGCATTAGCGGTCGGACAAGAGGTTGCTGGTGCATAACAGTGCTTCGCTGTAACATTTCATAGTTAAACTTTTCATCACTGGCGTGCTGGTCAATAACGAACATGTCATTGTCCAACTTGCCAATAATGAAGCCAAGGTTAAACTGGCCAAGAATTTCCATGCGCTTGAAATCTTCCTTCTTGAGCACTCGCTGCAGAGCTGCCGCGGCAATCTCATTTTCTCCTTCCTGGATGTTTCCATCGACCAACGCAGAACATGCCTTCGGTATCTTGAGGCGGTTTATCTTTCGTTTTCGTTCATACTCCACTTCTTCCTCAAAATATTGCTGCCGCTGCTTAATCATCTCATCAAATGACCATACACACTCTTCCGGCGTCGAAAGAGTCAATAGTGAGAGACCTGGGAAAGGCTTTTGTCTTTTGACTGGCTTCCGCAAGTCCAACAAAGGGTGTTCTGCAAATGACAGCGGAGATGCAACACCTGTCTCTCGCGACGAAGCTTGCTTTACATCAACGGCATCTTCACTTTTGTTTTGTGTTCGTTCTATACTTTCAGTCCTCTGAAACTTTTGAGACTTCGGCTGGAGTATTTCAACAATGACATGATCTTGTTGCGACACTTCAGTATCGTCTTGGTCATCTTGAGATGATTTCGTCAACGTCGCAACCTCAGCTATCGCCTCGTCATCACTATTTTTCTTGTCAGCAGCAGGCATACACTGACGTTGCTGTGCAGCAAACTCTTTTCGTAGAGGAGATTCTTTTATACCTTCCGTCTTTGAATCTCGAGTAAATGTTGTCATCAAAGGCTGAGCCATAAACGTCCCTCGACTAGGCTCATAAAGCTTGTTCAAGCCCGACTTGAATGCATTAACAAGTTTTGCTTCCTAGAAAGCACTGCATCAGTACAATATAATCCGCTCACACAAAAACAGAACGTAAGCCCAAAAACGTAACATAAGCTTACGTACATGTTTCAAAAACGTCTCCCGCTTATCTGGAGTAACGTTTACATCGTAGTCACCAAGAGGGAGATAGAAGTTGAGTACACATGCTGGCTTTTGTTTCATTTCGTACTGTCGCCACACTTCATTCAGTGCTTTTGCCGTCTAATGATATCAATTTTGCAAGTAAGCTACCAAAGCATCTCCGCATAATCATGATATATGTACCTTTGGCAAGTCAAATGGCCGTCCATTAATGAAGAAAAATTGTCGGTCATTGTCACTTCGGCCAACACCAGCACCCACTTTGGAAACAAACCCTCTCACCTTGCCTTCTTGCCCACACAAATTGTCTTCAGTCTCCACATCAAAGCTTTCGTGTTCACTGTCACTGTTACCCTCCTTTCTTGCGTCATTCTTATCTTCACCCTCCTCGGTTTTCCAATAATCGCGCAGCTCCATATCCACGCTCAGTAAAGTCCTGAAAAACTTGGTGCCAAATACGTTGGCAATATTCTCTCCCATCGTCTGATGCGCTTGAGTAGCAAGTACAACATGTCGTGTGGCATTCTTGCCTATGGTATTAAATACACACATCTTCACATTCACACAAATCACAGCATATGCTTGCAACACCTTGAGGAACTTAGCATAGTGCTTTTTTATATTGCGCTCAAAATCCTTTGCTCGGACAGCTAATGGCTACAAGAGTCACACCGGAGTAGTAAGACATTAGTAATCACCCCTCGACCTCGACCTCGTTCTCTATTTCTCGATTCCTCTTGTACCTTGAACAGCTCTTTTACGACAATTGTCGTGCCCACAGGCCGTGCTTTCTTACTCTCTTGTACCAAGTTTCCACTCGTGTCATACTCTAATAATGTCCCCACTTGATCATTCTTTGTTCTTGTACAGACTGTAAAACTTGATGCAAGCTCACATATTGAGCTCAGTGCTTCACCACTAAGAAAATATAATAAAAATAGTTAAATAATATTATAACTATATAATAAAGAAAATAAATATATATATAATAAATAAAAATAAATAAATAAAGTTATATACCGAAAGCCAAAGGACGTGACGTTCTCAATATCTTCAAAGCTTTTAATCTTGCTTGTATAATGTTTACGTGCTAGGAAGACGTAATCTTCAGGTGAGATCCCTACACCATTGTCACTAACTTCAAAGGCATCACGTCCATATTCCTTGAGCTTTATTTCAATCTGTGATGCACCAGCATCCAACGCATTCTCTACTAATTCTTTAATTGCAGTTGCAAGGTCAAATACGGACTGACCACTACAAATTCGTTGGACATCACGTCGGTCGAGCACATGGAGAGCCATTGATTGATGCGGAGCACAAGAGTGATGGTCGTTTGAAGTTAGAAATAGATTACCGTATTTTATTTGAAAGGCAACGAGTTTAGCTCATCAAGGTATGATCGAGCATAGTTTAGAGCTGTTCAAATTCATATGGCGCTCGAATTTGGTTTTGTAAACCCTTAATTTTGAAATTCTATTCGTAATATTTCAGATTCTATTTTCACGAGATATAGAAATGCTTTTGTAAATCAAGAAGATCCCTCTACTAGAACGAGTCCTTTTCAACGCTGTAATTGATCTCCTCAACCATACACAATGGCTACGTCAAAGCCACCAACACACGTGGTCTTTGAGACAACTGTAGTACGTAGACCTTGCATCTTTCCTGCGTCTTGTTAATGCACTAACGTTGATGTGTGTTTTTGCAATGTAAAACTTGATACAATGTACAATTACAGGGCAATTTTACAATGGAATTGTACTCGGAGCACGCACCAAAAACCTGTTGGAACATTGCTGAGCTCGCACGACGTGGTTACTATAATAACACGATTTTTCATCGTATTATTAAAGACTTTATAATCCAAGGTGGAGATCCCACGGGTACAGGAAGAGGTGGAGAGTCCATTTACGGGTCAGTCAGTCTTAAATTGTGCAGAATTTCTATTGTCCAAATGGTACCATTTCTAACCAAATGGGTACAATAGAGCAAAATTTGATGATGAAATTTCCAAAGAGCTGAAACATACGGGAGCTGGTGTGCTGTCAATGGTAAATAATGACAATAAAAATAAGGTCAAAACCGAGAGGTACAAACCCAACTGACGGTGGCAATTTTGTGTGATTCAATAGGCAAATTCAGGACCTAATACTAATGGTAGTCAATTTTTTATTACATTGGCACCGACACCATGGCTTGATGGTAATGGGATAGTTGTGGTGACAGTTTGATTATTTGAGTCTTTTGTGTTGTGTTGTTCATGGTATGTATTGTCTTGTTGTGATGAATGGATAGGTAAACACACGATATTTGGACGGATTTCGTCGGGAATGAAAGTAATACAGCGCATGGGCATGGTACCAACCGGTGCCAATGACAGGTTGAATAGAATGAGTGGGATTGAGATTGTTTTTGTTAAGGACGGTTGAGCTCATGTATTGCTTATTGTTGTTGTATATGTGGTGGTGGGTGAAGACCGCGCGAGGAGATCCACGTCAAGCGTGCATATCCGATTTCTCAATAGAGACGCTGCGGAAGAAGCGTTTTGTTGTTGCGACCAATAATATGGAAAAGATCATAGGAAAGCGACTCAGTCAACGTGGAAAAACATTGTCAATGGCATCACCAACTCTGTTTGAGGCGTAGAAAATCACACGTCATCAATTTTTTTTGAGACGGAACAAGCCCAGTTCGATTCTCATTTTTGCGGCTGTTTTGTGAAGCATTTGCTTTGGATCTGTTTCTTCTGTCTGATGCTGCCGCTTTCTCGTCAAGTCCAAACGCGCTAATCTGCTGGATGTCCTTTTTTCATTTTGACTTGCGTTGAGGTGGAAGAGGCTATCTCGTGCAGTCAGAGTCTTACTGCTGTAGTTTACAGCTCATGCAGATGCAAAAAGTTGCGACGCTTTGATATGCGAATGTCGTCGTCCAGCGGTAGATAAGAAACTGTTATGATGGCACGTTGTTGAATAAGCCAGCGATAACACCGAGATGTCACAATCCCACCAACTAAATGGTATCGTCAGAGTTATAGTAGGTTTGGCAATGCTATTCCATCCTATGAATAAACCCAGCCGGTCCATTTTTTTTTGCTTGGACAAGAGAATATGGTCATCGCGCGAAGATCTTTCTTTTTCAATCTGTGACAATGCTCATCCATAGTCTCAGCCAAAGCTTGTCTGAGGTGCGCCAATAAAGACGGTCGTCACTTCTGTTTGCCAATTTCTACATCTGCAGTAGTATCAGCGCCGTTCTTGTCATTATAGAAACACACTCAGCTCTAATTCCACATGACTCCTTTTCCTCATTATGTTGAGTATGTTGCAGTTGATGATTCAGTACAAAACGCTCTGACCGTAAACATTGAATTTGTCTCATATGGAAATATCTCAATGAGTGCGTCTCGTCTCACGATGGATCTTCTTTCGTCCAATCATATTGTAACGTTATCTGTCTGTAAGACTTTTGAGCTTTATGGAAGAGAATCAACAGCACGTGTTATGGAGCAGGGAAAATACGTGAGAATTGACACATTTGCAGTGGATTGACTTGCTATAAAGCTGGTACTAGACAATACGAATATTGAAAGGAGTCCACAATATATTGTAGACTAAACAATAATAATAACATTACTCGATCATGATATGTTTGCATTAGGATGAAAAATTACATACACCTGAACAGGGCCATGTGACATGGGACAGTGGAAATGTGCATTATTTTCACGATGTAAAGCACGATGGGCCATCAACGTGTCAATACGTTTTTGTATTGGATGCTCTTAATTTTTGCTTCTGGCCAACGGAAAAGTACCATTATTATTATTGCTCTAAAAATACTTGATAAACGCTGACCCATTATTCTGATGATTCGTATTGACAATAATGACACAGGATGGACTATGAACATTTGGCAAGCGGATTAAAAATGGCTCTAGTACATGATTCACATGCATTTGATGCTGAGAAATTAGCAATTGTCACCAATGACACAATGAAGTCGTGGTTTCAACCGTTTACACCGCCACAAGTTGATGAACGTCGACAAAAAGTTCAAGAAATGGGAAAAGTATTGATACGGTTTTTTCACGGACGAGCATTGAATTTGATCAAGCAAGCAGATTTCTCAGCAATTGAAGCAGTTCGACTGGTGTTGGCCTATTTTCCACGTATATAGTCCTATGACAATGTTGGTGGTCCAAGTAGTCCACTTGAGTGAGTTGAACCCTTGTTTACAGGCTTTCGGGACCATGCTGTATAGAATGGTGAACAAGTGCATTTTTACAAACGCGCTCAAATTCTAGTTGGAGATGTATGGGCTGCATATGGCCGTCATTGCCTTGTTCTATGATATTGATCAATTGACTACGTTTGGTACGTATGACATGAGGTTACTCGCGGACGTTGTTGATTTTGACTCTGCTACTCATTTATCTGGCATGTTTTTTTGCTCATTACGCTCTCTAGCTGATTATCGCGTACCACAAGTACTACATCCTGAAGGTGTGATTGTCTACTCATCGGAGTTGGCCAAACTTGTTGATAGTAAAGTTGAGATCGTGGCTGGGAGTGAGGTAAGCCGGCATCACATTATATTTGTCTCCTACCACGCAGAGCGGTAATGCTAGTAGTGCTATTTTCTTCACCTTCTTTGCGTTTTAGATGGAAATTGAAATCCGCGCTGCAACGATTCAAGCAGTCGAGATGCTTCATAAACAAATGCTTCGCCAAGGCAATCATCTCCACGTTATTGAGCTTGACTGGTTATTGTGGCAAATTGGTGAGAATAACAAAGAGGACTTACTGCCGCATCATCGCACGTGGAGCATCTACTACTAGAGCAACACAGCTTTACAATGTCCACATCACTTATGACCACGATCGAATAAGATCGATAGGCTTAATGTGGTAGCTTTTGGTACACACTCTTGCATAGCTGCAGCCACAACTGAAGGTAAAAATCAAGAAACAATTTGCATGCGTTAATAACTAAATTCTGTCATTACCCATAACATCAGAGATGGGTGAACTGCTGCAACGTCATACAACAATCCAAAACTGACAATTTCAGAGATCGTTGCTCACGACGTTGAGTCAGCCATATGCTCAGGCAGCACATCCGATAGATGAACTGCTTGTTAGGTAACTTGTATCACAGAGCAACACTGTTGCTGAGCTTGTTATCAAGAAGAGACAACGATCCATTCATTATACGGATGCCTTGACCAGCACCAACTTCCACAGGTTGCTGCAATTTCGGTCCGTCGTAAGTAAGCACTTGGTTCTTTTCAAGCTCATCCAATTTCTTCTCGACCTCTTTTGTCTGCTTTACAGGGTCCACTTGGACTACTTTGACAAATCGATCTCGCCGAACCGCTTGCTGAAGCCTTGTGGTAGTTTGTAGACCCAACACAAACTCCCCAACGATACACAATAGCAGCATCGTGGACGTGAGTCCGATGCTACATACAAACACCAATCCTATAACGCAGACTGTTAGCATCTCCACCTCATAACCTCCGTCCAACACCACTCAAAGCACGTACCGACATAGTGCCATGGTGAAACCGGGTCGCAGTGTTCCAACTCTACGGTGACTCGGATTAAACCTTCCTCCTTGTCCACCTCACTCTCACTTTCATCACTAACATTCGCCCAGCGCGAGATCACTAAATTGTACGTGGCCGCTCTAGACAGCCCTTCCTGCAGTTGCACACAGCTTAAGACATTGTGGCATGCATCATTTCTCCCCAACGCCGCCAAACTGCTCACAGTCTCATTCGTTCCTTCTGTTGTCTCCATTTGCAGTCTCCGATGACCTTGGTTACTATTTGCACTACTTTCAAGCTCTGTCGAGTCGTAGAACTGCACCTCAAGCGGCTGTGGCGATACGATATTTATCGTGTAGCACGTGTGACCAAACAAGGTCAGCAGAAACTTGTCAGACTCGCCCAGCAGTAATTCATCTTGACATGGAACCCGAACTTGTCCATTTGTCACACACGACCGAAGAGCTACACAAAGCAAAACAAGGTGTCAATGTCTGCATTTTGACTCAACATTTGAACAATGACATTGGTTGTACCATCAGTCAATGTAAGCAGCAGCAGTCCCAACACTATTAAGTAACTCAGTTGCATCCCCGTTGACTGTTCAAAGAAGAGAGGGGGGAATGGAAAAATGGATTTTTACTGAGACCATACGCCGCACGATCGAATAAGTCGCAGCAGTTGTTGAACTAGCCCTTCACCCACAAATCAGGTGAGCGCCAGGATGTTTACATTCTCTTAACTGCACATCTATGCCGGAGTGGGTGGGTTGTTGGTAAGAATTAAACTCTGTCAATCATCAACAATCAAAGCTCACTCAATAACGGCGACTCAAGTCATGAGACAGTTGATGCTGATGCAGCGCTAATGGAGACAAGGCCGGTGTCAACTTTACAACTTTTGTACGTGTTTAGTCACGCCACTTTGGACAGCTCAGACAGACCTTATGCATTAGAACATGGTGTTTGTCAAAGCTGGCGTGTTTCTTCACTTCTGGTTGCTGCTATAGAAGTCAAGAGAAGCATTTCAAACCAGCGCTCAACCAAGTCGCATTGATGCTATACAGCTGCGTGACGTCACTAAGTATGATGCTGTCGGACTCGCGCCAACTGAGAGCGTATTAATCATGAAAGTTGTGGCCCTGAGCCTATTGCATTCAGTGGCTACAATTTACATGTCAATGCAGTATTCAATGAGCTTATAAGAGAAAGAGAAAGACATAAGCCAAAGTATTAACAAACACCTTGTAAATGCTTTGACTCTTGTTTTCATAGGTGTCTTATGTGATAAATGCAGTAGCAGCTTGAACAGAACGACAACACAAGAAAGAATCCGAGTCTCCATGAACCCAATCAACAATCAGACGATCCTCACTTCAGTTCATGACTTTTATATTAGTAATGTTTACGAAACATATGAAGATTCAGTGTCGCAGGTAAAAGCACTTGGACAAATGGTCTCAATGTATCGGATACAGCTACTGTTCAAAGTGTCGCAACTAGTCATTGTGACATGAAAGTCTGATGGCTTACCCATAATGGAGCTTCCAGTATCCGGATCAACCAAGAGATAGTACATGTCGTCAGTACAATGTGGAAATCGAATCAACTTGTGCTTTTCAATAAACTTTCACCTTCAGATCGAGTCTCGCCTTTCTTCTGTCTGTTTTGCCCTGTACGACAGAGCTGCGTATGGAACTAGATTTCAGCTAAACTTAGTCGAGCCAGTCATGGTTGCAGTCAATGCAAAGCTATACGATACTGCATGGGTTGAACAACCACTGCTGCAAATGGAAACGCCATCGATTCAAATTGCAGTGCACGTTAGACTGTATCAATTTCAGAGACTGAGTCTGCGCAAAGGAAGGACTTGTTTGGACTGAACAATATCTAGTGCACCACGTTTCTGCTGTTGCTCCGGAACGTAAAGTGCCACTGTCCAAGCCGATGATGAGCTTCCTACGAATGGCAACACAAGGGTTACACTTGCCTCTTATGTGTTCGCACATTGACATAGCTCGCGCTCGTCGCCAATGGCGCACAGCAAGGTCTATCTATGTCCAGAGTCGAATGGCCAGTAACTTTGCTGAGACGAAGATGTCATTCAATGCACTCATTTACATCTGCACTAGCAGCAACTGCCGCGTGGCAATTGCTGTCGACCAAGTTCACGCTCTCCATGATTTTTCAGCAGAGCTTGGCAATTATTGGGCCAGTGGTTTGAAACGGCACCAGGTGCCCACGTGTTCAAATATTTACCTTATCTTGCTGACGAGGTTGGCAGCGTGAGAGAGGAGAATCCTGACGCTGACGCATGTGGTGGACAGACACTGGCGTCAGTCGCCTATATTCGGCCGTGCTCTGTCTGTTTGGTCTGCATGGTGACTAGTTTTTGATCAGCATTTGTGCCCGTTCATACAAATGCAATGTAACTGCTCATACTGATCCGAAACAGACGCTTCCTGTTGTCGAACAGGAATGAATTGTCTCGAGCTCTCAAAATCTTTGCTACATAATGCGCAAGTTTACCTAAAGTCGCCAAAGCGACACATGCCGTACAGAGACTGCTTAACCCTAGCACCATCCTGTCGGGATGCACCGTATCAGTATGGCGTGCTCTCAATTTGCGTGCGAGTGCAGGTGGCTGACGCCTATACGTGCTCTGTGGTTATTACTTATAGCAGAACTTCTTGCCACCAAGCATTGGTCCACCGTAATGGCAAACAGGCGCTGGAACGGTTGCCTTTGTCGGTGGTGCCCGTCTGCTTAGTGCTAGCTACTACTATTAGACTTGACCAGAGCAAGTTGAATTTGACCACAGACCCGATCGTTGTGCACATCGTCATATTTTACAAGCAACTTTCTGTCTGTTCTCGTTTGTATTTTCTGTAAACTCTGTGCCATTCATGCATCAGATGCGGGAAGTTGGTTGGCAATCGGTCACACGTGCGTGCGAGTGAGCATTTCCGTCAAGGATTTCCCCGTTACCTAGCACGAACACCTCGTTCGTGGTTAGCAGAAATGTATAGGGGAGTGTGGCGACTTGCCGGGGAGTCTCACTCAAGTTAATGAAACTTTGATCCATTGGTTTGCATGACATGAGACCTACGAGCAGCCAAGCTGTAGAGTGCTAGAACGACCAACGACCGTTTTTCGCAAGTTCGACAAGGCGGCAAGCGTCGAGCGAACTTTAGCACCGACACTACACCACCACCAGACGGTGTGTTTATGGCCCTAGCCGCTGCAATTGTAAGCCAATTTACGCTCAGAATGGCCAATTAGCCAGAAATTTACCAAAAGTTCCAAGAAGAAGCTACATTCTTTTCTCACAAAGGTCAAGTCAAAACATCCAGAACTTCATCCCAGCTGCTTCAAAGTTCCTCTTGACTTGTAATTTATCAATACTGAAGCTGTCCTTTTTGTTGCCTGAATTTGCTCGACACTGCTCCATACATAAGCTTTAAGATTAGCTGTCGTTTGTCTGTCTGTTCATGGCCAATGTGAGCCACTTGGTTGCCATTTGCACATTTTGATCATTTTGCAACAATCGTTCGTTCAGTATCGATAGCAAGCTACAAACTGATAGCCAAAGAGTTAATCAACTGACCTCTACCTTCCTCTACTTGCTCATTTTCATCACGTCGTCGTCTTCTACGAGTCTCCATCATGCCCTACGAAAGCTTTACAACGCAAGAACAGGTGGAAATCACCGAAGTCGTGCAGGACTCGGCCACCCACGCGTGGATGTATGTGCTGCATGTTCAGCGTGGCAATACAAGCACGCACTCTTCACCTCGTGGGCCCGTAGAAGAGGGTTTTAGTCATGAATATATCATCAGCCGTCGCTTCAGTGAGTTCAAGCAGCTCCACATGACACTGACGTCCGTCATGGGTGAGGCGCTTACACCGCTGCCAGCAGATGGACTTATGACGCTCATTCTCGCAGATAATCAGGCACTGCTAGACGAGCGACGTCAAGTACTGGCCCAGATTGTCATTGATATTTTGAATCACCCGGTGGCACGTGACCTGCCGGACGTGCTGGAGTTTCTTGGCCACGAGTCCCTCAGCGCCAAGGTCATGGGTCCAATGTCGGGTCAGTGTACGGACTCGATCCACAAAACATCAAGTCCCGCGTGGACGGCACTCATCGGTTCATGTCGCACGTCGGTGCTGTCATTGTAGTCGTTTGACTGACGATGTATCAATTGCAACACAAACCATTTTGACACACGTGTGGAAGTTGATCTGACTTATAGGATCAAGTATTTAACAATGTAGAATAATCATAGACAAACATTAACCCAATCAACCAATTTGCTGAAACTCCGGTGCTGTTGTTACTAGAGAAGAGTGGAAGATATAGAAGCTCGACGGACGTGTTAGCACGTGCATTTGATGATGCGTGCTATACAGCAAAGGACGCGTTGTTTCGTATGTTCTTCTAAGTTCTGTGCAACGCTCTTTTTTGATGGGCTTCTATGGACATACTAATGTAGAGATTCAAACTCTCTTAAAGGCTAACCTAGACCCTGGATTAGCGAGGAAATGGTATACCGCAGGCCAAGGCAACTCACACGCTTCAATATAGCATGTCGCTTACAATGCTTCACACGCTGCTTGTAAAGCCAGTAAGTTTGAACAAGGTGACAGTGCTAGCGGCATATCGTGAGGCTTTTGAGACGACATCTCGGCTCTGCAAAAGCTGACAGAGGTTTTGACCATGAGCGCCTTCAGGCTGAATTTGAACACGGAAATATAGAAGCTGCCAAGTAAGAAGGAAGGCCCATCTTAAGCGAAAGAGAGCCACAGTGAGACGCAGCCAATTGGTAAAAAACTCCCATATGGATTGTATAAAGTCCAAGTGGTCAACTGTAGATCTACTTCACTTGCTTAAGTGACTGTAAACGTGTCACAGTCGAAGCTGACAGCAAGGTAAAACGATAAAATGGACGAAGAGCGAGTAAACAATTGTACTCTTACTGCGATTTGCTGCCAAGCAAATGCGACCACGCCTCTGTTATTGATTGATACATTTGCCACGACGTGTTTTGAAGAAAGTGGATGTAATGGACAGCTACTAAGACAACTGACTTGAAACGTATTGGAAATATGTGGAGAAGAAGCTTAGAGCGCTTGCGCTTTTAGGTCAACAGATTTGGATCCTAGGCGACCTTATTCAGAAAATCGAAATCTTGAACGTAATCAAAAAATCTGGTTGCGTATGCGTCAAAGAGGTGTATTACTATGCTGTAGCTCATGGAATTAAGACCAAGCAATGGTTGTGATACATACGTCGTACTAGTAGTCGAAACTGATTCGATTGCACTGGTAACAATCGCCAGGTAAGTCAACTTCAACTTCAACATCGAAACGGTTGCATCATAAACGAACGTGTTGAGTTAATAAGCTGTTTCGATTGGTCAATACCACGTCACATAAAGCTATGTATTGGATAAAATACCAGGAATATCGAGAAGAAAGTGTGCGGGATTATACAGTGTGCATACAGCCTCAAATTATACAGAATGTCAAAAAAACATTGTTGTATCGGCTTCGCAACAGTCTTGCTGGAAAGGCTGTCAATCTAAGAAACCATTTATGGAGCCATATCAAAGGAAACGTCATGATGGGTTGTATTTGCAGATCAATGGCGAATGGCTGATTGGTATCCATAAAACTGAAGCCCTTGATCATTCAATGCTCACAGCTCGAGTTGTCACGCGTGACCCAACTAACGCTCTATGTGGTTGTTGTTGTGCACCACTCGCATCCAACTAGTCAAGTTAAATTGCACACTAACTGTTTTCACCACTGAAAAGTGAGATTGATCAAAAGGGTTAGCAAAGACTGCACAACGTTGTGGCTTAAAGAACGTGCGTCATGATTCACAAATCCCACCGTAGTAAGCAACACTGGAACTTTCCAGTTCTAAGGAACCTTCAACAAAATACCAATGCACTTGTAGCCATATTAGATTCAACATAAAATATCGTCATCAACATGTGTGTCACTCCTATGGACCTTATGGCTTTATGATGCTATAAGTTTATGAGGCGCTTATTGAACAAGGTAAGTTAGTTGACTTAGCAAAAGAGCAGCCACTATTACCGCCATCGCTATTGATAAGAGCGACAGCAATGCTGGATGTAATCCTAACGCAGCTATGGCAATTACAAGTGTTTATACTGCGTTGCTTTCGTCACCTCATCAAACAGCGTTTCTGCTGTACATCGTTTGCATACATAGGTCAAAATAAGCCTTACAACTGTGTGTGAGTGGTTTCACTACCCAAGTTAGTTAACACACATAATAGAAATTAGTGAGCCAACGCGGTGAAGGGGCGCAACATAGCAAAAGTCTCTTGAGTCTGAATGGAATTTCCAGTCGAGCGTCATGTGACCCTCTTTGCAACGCATTTGAGCTCTGTTACATGGGCCACTTTGCAACTGAGTCACGTCAAAGATCGAAGCATCAAACTGCTTGGATACTTGATGCACAGAATGCTATCAGCCTGACTACGCAATCGAATGGCGTGTTCCAAATTTTGTCGCTCACGTTTAATCTTGGTGTCGTGCGCGTTCGCTTGACTCCTGATTTGTGTGAGAAATCAGCTCCGACGTCAAACTCCGCTACTGGTGCCAGGTGTGTGTGAGGTAATTAACTCACTTGGTAAGAAGACGTAGCTTGACTAAAGTCGGATTCCAAGTTTCAAAAAGGAGTTCAGTGCCGTTGGCCGCCATTGAATCAAGTTCATGTGCCCTGCCCATGCGCAGGCGACATGATTCGAAACCATTATCTTTGTAACCAGCTGGTTCTACGTCACGGTCCTAAATGCATGGACACTTGCGTAGCATTTCTCCTAAAGAACACCATTAAATGAAGCCAGCAAACTGCTTTTTTTCTCGCTGTTTATAGTCGTTCACACGTGCCAATGTGCGCCTGTCGTCGAAACTGCAACCCGAAAACGCTTTCGATCTCAACTTGGGACTCGACCTTGTCGGGTATAAAGTTAGACAGGCGAGAAGCGATTTGCGTGACTCTGTTTTAGTCAAACAAACGGGTCGACCCCTCCTCCCCCCGAGAAGCTGCATCTTTGCAGAGTGGGAGTTCGACGCACGCTCTCGGATACGGCGTCGCCTCATCGGCCACCGTGCGACAAGAATAAAAAAAAGCAGACTCTCACAGGAGGAGGAGATCCGAACACTACAACGCAGTCGGTCGATCGGGTTGATCATTCTCGCATTTGCTTTCAAACGACTACATTCGAATGCCGTACGAGAGCTTCAAGAGTTCACAGCACGTGTCCATTCGTGGTCTTGTGCAGGACCGCAAGACTGGCACGTGGAGGTATTTGCTGCATGTTACACGTCACATGCAGGACGATACGTTTGGTGAATCCATGCACGCCAGTCGTCCAAAGAAGAGCGAGGATACGTCAAAATTAATTGCCAGACCATGCACGACACAGTCATACGCCATCCGACGCAGCTTCGAGGAATTCAAGCGACTTCATGAGGCTTTGGCACCACTCATGACCAAAGGTGGCAAGTCTCAATTGCCCAAAATGCCAAACGATAGTCTACTCACGTTTTTCGTGGGGGAGACGCAGACGGCATTGCAAAAAAAGAGGCTCACACTTGAGCGCGTTCTGGCTGCAATTGAAGCTCACCCGGCGGCCAGTGACGCCCCCGAGTACATGGAATTCCTGGCGAACCTCAACTCGTACGACGAGGTAGCCAAGGCCCCATTATCGCCCAGTATCAGCTCCCGCAGTAGCTTCAGTTTTAGTGAAGATGGTACCCTTACGCCACGAGATTTTGTAAACCCCAACGTGTTGACTACGTCACGATCCGCTAATGCTCTGCGGCGAGCTTATTACCAACAAGACGCTGCGCATGAAAATCATGTGGCGTTTTCTCACTTTAGCATGACTTGAAAAGTGAGTAGCAAAGACGCTGGGTCAAAAGGAACAAGTAGATTGTTTTCAGGGCAAGTAGTAGGTGATGTACACAAGTAGAATGATGTGGCTAGAAGTTTTTTTAATCGGGTGGACGACGCTCCAACTGATCCAAAGTAAAGAGGAACATGTAAGTTATGACACCAAGCGTTCCAACTTGACGCATTCTAAGCCTTCATGCAATTTGCGTACCATTCGCACCACGTGAGGAATCGACCGATAGCCAAGACCGCAGTTGGCATTCCTGGCCTTGGCCATACAGCTCTGTGGAGACATGTTTTTCCAAAAACTCGAAATCAGGAGACGTCCGTACTCGAGTGTTGCCAGCATGTAGTGCCGCTTAAAAGCATCAAATGGATAGCTCTTCTCTAAGTCAGACCTAATGCCAAGCGCCTGCAGCCGCTCGTTCAAGTGATCGTAGTAGAACTGCAGCAACTCCAACTCGTTCTCGTCATTACCAAGTAGTGCGATACTCACAGAAGTATTGAGTAGGTTAGCGACATCCAAGGCGCCAAGACCTACTCCACTCCATTGCCAGTCAAACGCCACAACTTTGCGTGATACGAAGTTGAAAAACAGATTCGCGCTCTTGAAGTCGCCATGTACTAATGTGCACAATGAAGCGCTAGAGTCTACGGAAAGACAAGAGCTGATGTATGCGGCTTCTTCTATCATGCGTTCACCAAGTGATTCCAGCGCTGCTACTGATGGTAAACACAACTCGGTTTTGAAGACGCTGTCCCAGTTACCAAGCATCTGCGGCCAAATGTAAGAAGCTTGTGCAAGTTCTTCTTCGCCTCGTTTCGGAAATGCCCACCAACACGCTGCCGGCCAAAGCTTAGCACTAGCACTTTTGATCAGGCCTTCTTGTCCCCATGTCGAAGCATGTAGATTCGCGAGAAAAACCAATGCTTGCTGAGTATCTAAAAGCCCGAGACAATCAGCGGCCTCATAGTTGGCTGAAGACGCAGGAGACGCCGTACCCAAGCACTCCAATAGCATCAAAAAGTTTTCAGGATCTGAGCAAGTTGCCACATGCTTTGCATCACTAGCCATACCAGCAATAATATTTGCCATGCAGACTCCAGCAGCATCACTTTGGAATATTGCAAGTGGCTGGATGAGAGAAACACCACGCGCATACAATGACGGCGCAAAGTGTGCGTAAAATGTCGCCTCTGTGCGATATGAAGCAATGTCGCGCTTCCAGTGTGCAGCCGGCCTTGGCGGCAGTTCGCTCTTCGCAGTCTTTTTCACAAACACAATCATCTTGCTGTCGTCGTCTTTGAAATACACTTCAAGCTTTGCGGTAGCAGAGTGTTTGCCTCGATGGATTGAATGGGGAGCTACATTCACTGCCAGAACATTTCGTCCGGGGAATACGTGCTCTTGAAACCACTGCGGTGTCATCGGTTGTCCGTCCAGTGCACTGTGCGACGAACAACACAAAAAGACGCTGCAGATGAGAACACACGTATGTATTTCGTTAATAGCGCTATCCAGCTAGCTCAGGGCATCTACCTTGTGATGTTGACGGTTGCAATGGCGTTCAATATCATCTCGTGCGTCTGAGGGTTCACACAAGCAAGCAATCCACGCTCGTTGTCAAAGTCCGGTGCGTTGCCGATATGGTCGTACATGTATACGTTACCCTGCGTGTCAGTGAGCTTGCCACCAAGCCCCTCGATAAGAGGCTCTACAGCACAAATATCCCACTTGCGTGTGGCCGCCTTGAAGCGGAAAAAGCCGTCACTGTGACCCGTAAGAACTCCGAGTACCATGGTGCCTGTTGCACCACCCGTTAGGATAGCAGAAGTAGTCAACTTTGCTAAGGCGTTATTAACTAGATCGCAGTTGGTCGAAGACACGGTGCAGATCAAATCACGCTGGGTGGACTTGAGTGTTTGGTTGAGGAACTTGGCGTGTGTCGTCTGTGCTTCGTTCTCGTGATGTTCGCTGCGGAAAACACCAATACTCGGACCACCTACATACATGCAGAGATTGTAAACCATTAGTATACCAAGCTACAACAACAATATACGCCACAAGAATAAAGCTAGAGCCATTCTATCATACCCCAATAAGTGATGCCATGTTTGCCATGGAAGGGCAAGTGCACGACGCCCGCAATAGGACGCTGCTTGTACGAAATACCGATTAGTACCGACACCTCGTCGTACATCTTGGCCGCAAAACGCTTGGTGCCATCCAATGGATCAACCCATAATACGAGATCCTTCCAATCCAGTACAACATTCTGCGTATCGAGGTTGTCACTATCAAAGGCCACGTCGTCAAGTGCTTTAAGGTCGCACTGCATCACGTCCTCCGGAGCTGGCGGAGCGAGCTCGCCTTCCTCGCCTACAATCGTCACTTGTGGGAACGCTTCACGCAGAGCATGAACGATCCGCTGCTGAGATCGTCGATCTGCTACTGTCTGTGGATCGTACGTGCCTTCCTGCTTGTTGATCATATCGAGCGCAACGTGCGTTTGCACCACTTCACGAATTACACGACCGCCATATACACTCGCTGAGAAACAGGCAGCCAATAGAGGACGCAATAAAGGACCTGACGTTGTAGTAGTCATGATATCGTATAGAATAGAGAAGAGAAGAAGAAGTGAAGAGAGCACGATGAGGAATGAGGAATGGTTGGCATTAGAATAACGATAGGCGCATGCTCACACGTCGCAGATAGTATGGACTTTATGCAAGTGTTTGTCATGTCTATGATATTACTGAATCGGAGTGAACTAAAGATAGATTCGCATGAAAAATGCATGGACACTAACTACATGTTTACTGAGCTATTGGATCACTGCGCTTCTACTAACTTCCACTATTCTCTAGTAACAACAGCACCGGAGTTTCAGCAAATTGGTTGATTGGGTTAATGTTTGTCTATGATTATTCTACATTGTTAAATACTTGATCCTGTAAGTCAGATCAACTTCCACACGTGTGTCAAAATGGTTTGTGTTGCAATTGATACATCGTCAGTCAAACGACTACAATGACAGCACCGACGTGCGACATGAACCGATGAGTGCCGTCCACGCGGGACTCGATGTTTTGTGGATCGAGTCCGTGCACTGACCCGACATTGGACCCATGACCTTGGCGCTGAGGGACTCGTGGCCAAGAAACTCCAGCACGTCCGGCAGGTCACGTGCCACCGGGTGATTCAAAATATCAATGACAATCTGGGCCAGTACTTGACGTCGCTCGTCTAGCAGTGCCTGATTATCTGCGAGAATGAGCGTCATAAGTCCATCTGCTGGCAGCGGTGTAAGCGCCTCACCCATGACGGACGTCAGTGTCATGTGGAGCTGCTTGAACTCACTGAAGCGACGGCTGATGATATATTCATGACTAAAACCCTCTTCTACGGGCCCACGAGGTGAAGAGTGCGTGCTTGTATTGCCACGCTGAACATGCAGCACATACATCCACGCGTGGGTGGCCGAGTCCTGCACGACTTCGGTGATTTCCACCTGTTCTTGCGTTGTAAAGCTTTCGTAGGGCATGATGGAGACTCGTAGAAGACGACGACGTGATGAAAATGAGCAAGTAGAGGAAGGTAGAGGTCAGTTGATTAACTCTTTGGCTATCAGTTTGTAGCTTGCTATCGATACTGAACGAACGATTGTTGCAAAATGATCAAAATGTGCAAATGGCAACCAAGTGGCTCACATTGGCCATGAACAGACAGACAAACGACAGCTAATCTTAAAGCTTATGTATGGAGCAGTGTCGAGCAAATTCAGGCAACAAAAAGGACAGCTTCAGTATTGATAAATTACAAGTCAAGAGGAACTTTGAAGCAGCTGGGATGAAGTTCTGGATGTTTTGACTTGACCTTTGTGAGAAAAGAATGTAGCTTCTTCTTGGAACTTTTGGTAAATTTCTGGCTAATTGGCCATTCTGAGCGTAAATTGGCTTACAATTGCAGCGGCTAGGGCCATAAACACACCGTCTGGTGGTGGTGTAGTGTCGGTGCTAAAGTTCGCTCGACGCTTGCCGCCTTGTCGAACTTGCGAAAAACGGTCGTTGGTCGTTCTAGCACTCTACAGCTTGGCTGCTCGTAGGTCTCATGTCATGCAAACCAATGGATCAAAGTTTCATTAACTTGAGTGAGACTCCCCGGCAAGTCGCCACACTCCCCTATACATTTCTGCTAACCACGAACGAGGTGTTCGTGCTAGGTAACGGGGAAATCCTTGACGGAAATGCTCACTCGCACGCACGTGTGACCGATTGCCAACCAACTTCCCGCATCTGATGCATGAATGGCACAGAGTTTACAGAAAATACAAACGAGAACAGACAGAAAGTTGCTTGTAAAATATGACGATGTGCACAACGATCGGGTCTGTGGTCAAATTCAACTTGCTCTGGTCAAGTCTAATAGTAGTAGCTAGCACTAAGCAGACGGGCACCACCGACAAAGGCAACCGTTCCAGCGCCTGTTTGCCATTACGGTGGACCAATGCTTGGTGGCAAGAAGTTCTGCTATAAGTAATAACCACAGAGCACGTATAGGCGTCAGCCACCTGCACTCGCACGCAAATTGAGAGCACGCCATACTGATACGGTGCATCCCGACAGGATGGTGCTAGGGTTAAGCAGTCTCTGTACGGCATGTGTCGCTTTGGCGACTTTAGGTAAACTTGCGCATTATGTAGCAAAGATTTTGAGAGCTCGAGACAATTCATTCCTGTTCGACAACAGGAAGCGTCTGTTTCGGATCAGTATGAGCAGTTACATTGCATTTGTATGAACGGGCACAAATGTTGATCAAAAACTAGTCACCATGCAGACCAAACAGACAGAGCACGGCCGAATATAGGCGACTGACGCCAGTGTCTGTCCACCACATGCGTCAGCGTCAGGATTCTCCTCTCTCACGCTGCCAACCTCGTCAGCAAGATAAGGTAAATATTTGAACACGTGGGCACCTGGTGCCGTTTCAAACCACTGGCCCAATAATTGCCAAGCTCTGCTGAAAAATCATGGAGAGCGTGAACTTGGTCGACAGCAATTGCCACGCGGCAGTTGCTGCTAGTGCAGATGTAAATGAGTGCATTGAATGACATCTTCGTCTCAGCAAAGTTACTGGCCATTCGACTCTGGACATAGATAGACCTTGCTGTGCGCCATTGGCGACGAGCGCGAGCTATGTCAATGTGCGAACACATAAGAGGCAAGTGTAACCCTTGTGTTGCCATTCGTAGGAAGCTCATCATCGGCTTGGACAGTGGCACTTTACGTTCCGGAGCAACAGCAGAAACGTGGTGCACTAGATATTGTTCAGTCCAAACAAGTCCTTCCTTTGCGCAGACTCAGTCTCTGAAATTGATACAGTCTAACGTGCACTGCAATTTGAATCGATGGCGTTTCCATTTGCAGCAGTGGTTGTTCAACCCATGCAGTATCGTATAGCTTTGCATTGACTGCAACCATGACTGGCTCGACTAAGTTTAGCTGAAATCTAGTTCCATACGCAGCTCTGTCGTACAGGGCAAAACAGACAGAAGAAAGGCGAGACTCGATCTGAAGGTGAAAGTTCATTGAAAAGCACAAGTTATTCATTTCACATTGTAATGACGACATGTACTATCTCTTGGTTGATCCGGATACTGGAAGCTCCATTATGGGTAAGCCATCAGACTTTCATGTCACAATGACTAGTTGCGACACTTTGAACAGTAGCTGTATCCGATACATTGAGACCATTTGTCCAAGTGCTTTTACCTGCGACACTGAATCTTCATATGTTTCGTAAACATTACTAATATAAAAGTCATGAACTGAAGTGAGGATCGTCTGATTGTTGATTGGGTTCATGGAGACTCGGATTCTTTCTTGTGTTGTCGTTCTGTTCAAGCTGCTACTGCATTTATCACATAAGACACCTATGAAAACAAGAGTCAAAGCATTTACAAGGTGTTTGTTAATACTTTGGCTTATGTCTTTCTCTTTCTCTTATAAGCTCATTGAATACTGCATTGACATGTAAATGTAGCCAAGTTACATCACAAACCAGCGGTGATGACTGCGTTAAAGCTCTACAGCTGCGTGATGGCGTTGAGTATGATGCTGTCGGACTTGCAATCTAATACGCTGTGGCTTTGGAGCATATTGAATCGAGTGGCAATCGTATTTGCCCTGATATGATAATGATAAAGCTGAAAGAAGACAGGTGTTATTGTTGTTTGTTGTGTTTGTTCGAATGTGTTGAAGTTTTGATGCATGTTCGTGCAAGTTTGCACTCTAGTAGCCACATGAACCTTACGCAAACTTGATAGCAGAGCTACTTAGTAGCTGTAGCTCGACTTGATAGCTCCAATTTGGATTCTCAATCATGATGCTCATGGAATACAGTTTGTAGTGCGATCCCTTGCATCGACGAAGACATTGATGAGCACAAGTGACATGTGTCAGAAAACCTGATGAGTATTTGTCGACTGCAGGCGTTCGACATGCTGTCATGAAGCAACCAAAGGAAGCTGCAGTAAATGTCAAAGAGTACTATGACGGAATGCTTGGACAACACATCCAAAACGAGAACAACACGAGAAGCTTCATTACTTTTTGTTGAAGAAAAATTACCTGGACTGACACGCAAGTCTGAGAGGGTCATGCGCTAGACTGCCGAAAAGCCGACGCTTGCTGCAAGAGTTCGTTTTATTTGATCTCTTGATAAACAAGGCATCGCCCCCAAAAGCCAACACTCAGCTCAGCGCAACGAAGCACTACCAAATGGTTGTCATACTCTCCCATTGCAGCGCTTATCTTGCTTACAATCTTGCTTCGACATCCAGCTTGTTTCGAGCACCAGCGCAGACATGTCTTACTTTCGCAGCATATTTCCAAGCACGACACCACTAGCGACGCTCACTGCAGCGATAAGCGAGTAGAGGGCCAAGTGGTTGGCAGAAGCATATTTCTTGTGAACACGCTCGCGCGCAATGGTATTGCCCAACAAGCTGTTATTGTACGACTCCAGTAGCTGATACGCATAGTAGTGCGCACCACGCTCGCCCAAGTCCTCTGTCAAAACCAGGTAAATTGGAATAGCTTTAAGCGCTGGACTGACACGACCCTTGTTGAAGCACGCCTTCAAGAAAATGTCCTTATGCGTGAAGTATTCAAGATTTTTTGGTGCAAGGCCACCGGTGATGTAGAATCCACCACGAGGAAGGTACTTGAGCATAGCCGAACCAGCTTCACGGCCGTAAGCACTATCAAGCAAAACACAACCCAAAAAAGAAGACAAGATGAGCACAAAAAGGCATCACAAGTTTGAAAGGTGAGCCAAAGTTTGGCTCTTGCCACGTACTCGACAAAAATCTCCATAGCCTGGTTACAGAGTGCGTCGGTCTTAGCATTATCACCCACAATCTTTCCCTGCAGTGACTTGGCAGCCATGAATGCAGCATGCACTTTTTTATCCACTTTGTCCGGAAACTTGTTGGCCAGGAATTTATAAATCGTAGCTAATCCTGGACCACTAACAATCCGTTCGACGGAGAAACGTCGATCACAGCCCAATTCTTCTTTGATAGAGTTATATAGCTCAATTTCTATTGTATCAGCTGGAGCAAAATCCGTGTGACCTCCTTCACAGGCAAAACAGGAATACTGTCCATCCTTGTCGGCGGTCAAATAGCATTCTCCTAGACCTGTCCCAGCTCCAATGGTAGCAATTGGTGCACCATCTTCTTTTTTTGCTTCATTTAGGACAATATACTCATGAGGTTTTAACGTAAGAAGGCCATATCCCATTGCAGCAAAGTCATTAATGAGCTTGACAGTCATAATGCCTAATTCCCGCTCAAGTCCAGGTCCATCAATTTTCCACCCGTCTTTTATGTTGGTAAACCTAAGAAATAGAAACAAATATCTCAGTTTTAGTACTATGATCCTAGAAGTTAGGATTATTACAAACTACCATCGAGCCTAAAAGTTAATATGTAGAAAGACATACTCGACCGTATTATTTAGGATAGGACCAGCACAGGCTAATACACAGGCCACTGGAAGACGATCGACCAGCTTGGCTTCCTTCATAAAAAGGTGACAGACTTCAGAAAAACTGCCGTAATTTTCATTGTGATACTTCTTAGCAAATGTGATCTCGCCAGGAGCTACAGAGCCTTTAAAAGCCACGGAACCCTTGGGAATAAGCCAGAGTGATAAGCGGGTATTCGTGCCACCACAATCACCAGATATAATTAGGTCGCCACTAGGATATGGAGGGGGGACATAAAGTTAGGATCTAGGACAGTGAGACACAATAGGACTGTTTTTTTATTACGTACGACATGGTATTTTATTTTTTGAATTCACCGTTCGAGGGGAGATTTAGAAATGAAAAACGAAGGAACTGAATTATTAACATGTAAGACGATATGAAGTTGCGTTAATTGAAGTAACTTGGATAATTTAGATGAATGAACAAGAAATTACGGTGCGCGATCAGTTATGATTTTAGTAACGTATCTGATTTCAAAACACGTGCCGCAGTCTGTAACGTGAGGGTGAGCCTGACTCCCTGCTTAAACCATTGGTATTAAATGTATGAAAAGGAGCAGGGCAGTTTTGACCATGGACAGACAGTCTCAGATCAGATCAGAAAATGATAACAGACTAAAATGAACATAAACGATCGTCCTGGCAAGTGTTTGAGCTTACTGCTTTGTACATAGTCGGTCTTCCTCTTTCTCAGTCAATGTACTACCACTTTGCTCATGTCTACAACAAGTAAGTATTAAACACAAGAGTGTAGCAACTGATAGGCGTAGAAATGAGCACCTCGTTCCCCAAGTTCTTCCGTCAATACCAAGTAGATTGGACATGCACGTAGAGCAGGACTGACACGACCTTTGTCAAATAAAGAGTTTAGAAAAAGATCCTTCTTGGTAAAGTAGTCGAGATTCTTTGGTGCAAGACCTCCTGTAATGTAAAATCCACCACGAGGCAAATACTTGAGCATTGCATTACCAGCTTCACGACCATATGCACCCACAAAGATCTCCATTGTTTGGTTGCATAGCTCATTTGTCTTTGCATTCTCGCCAACGACTCGACCCTTTTGTGTCTTTGCCTGTAGAAACTTTGCATGTACGTTAGAATCCACCTTGTCAGGAAACTTTCTCGCTAGAAACGCGTAAATCGTCGCAAGACCCGGTCCAGACACGATACGTTCGACGGAAAAGCGCTGATGACAGCCTAGTTTAGCCTTAATCTCATTATATAGCTCAATCTCGATCTCGTCAGCAGGGGCAAAGTCCGTATGGCCACCCTCAGAGGCAAAGCACGAATACTGACCACCGGAATCAGGGGTCAAGAAACATTCACCCAGACCCGTACCAGCACCAATTGTAGCCATAGGAGCACTCTCGTCCTTGGGTGCATCATTTAGCACAATGTACTCATGTGGACGCAGCGTCAGCAGCCCGTACCCCATGGCAGCAAAGTCGTTGATGAGCTTTACGTGTTTGATGCCAAACTGCTTTTCAAGACTACTACCATCAATTTTCCAGCCAAACTCGACGTTCGTAAAGTCCACAGTGTTGTTGAGAATAGGACCGGCACAAGCCAGGACACAAGCCTCAGGAACGTCATCAATGAGCTGGGTGGCTTCGTTCATGAAGAGACGACAGACTTCATCAAAGCTCGAGTACTCTTCATTCAAGTATTTCTTGGCAAAGATAGATTCACCAGGAATGACATTACCTTTGAGCCAAATAGCACTCTTAGGAATGTTCCACAACGATAGTCGCGTGTTCGTGCCACCACAGTCACCGGATAAAATGAGGGAGCATTCACTGTGAGAGATAGTAGAAGTAGCAATTGGTAAGAAAACCATTTTTAGCGTGAAAGGGATGGAGCCCTTTGGTTGAATTCATTGGAGATATTGGCTAGTAGTACGTAAAGAGACGACGGTACTTACGACATTGGATTGAAGTGTGAATTGAAAGAGGTTCAAGCAAGAAATTGATTGTCTTTGAGATGTGAGATATTGAAATGGGGTATTCAAGTCCTTTCAGTGTTGAGACGATCATGTGCGACGAGGTTATTGTATATCGATCATATCGATATCTTTGAATCAGATTTGATGTTCTAAGTCAAGGAAAATAGCGAATATCATGGCTGAAACCTACTCGGATATGTCCTTTTCAAGACAACTAACTTCAAGAGTTTACTACAGTGACTGACTATTATGGAAATACGACACTTGCTCAGATAGTACAACACACATGCAGAGTAGATAAGGCTTTATATAACCTTTGTCCAACATCCGATTCAGCAACACAAATCGCGTTCTCTGCATCAAGTCGATTTCATCTCATTTAGCCATTCCAGGAATCGATGTTTGCTTGTCGTACGCTAATGACGTAATCCAACTGACCACCTATAGACTTGTAGCTGGTGCCGTGACACACTTGCCCGTTGTATAGCTTCGTCGGCTAAATCACCCTCAAACTAGTTTCTAGGAAACATGTTCAGCAGAATATCGACTTGACCTCAACCTGAACACTGCCAAAGCTCCAAGAGATTCGGATATTCTGTTGACCAATAGCTTGTAGCGTATCTATGATAGATGGAGTTGTGAAAGACACAAGAGTCTTTAACTCATCGATCGCGATCAGCAGTGGGTGGTTGCTAGGCTTTGTTCATTCAAACGAAACGAGTTTGTTTGGTCGAAACGCTGCTCAAGTTGAAGCCGGTTGAAGCTGGAGATGTAGACCATTTCTTGTAGTAGCGATATAGACCGTGATTGATGTGTGAAGATTGCTTGAATGGTTTGTCGAACGATACCAATTCCACAAAATAGTTAATGTTTGAGATGTTGGTCGAGCACTTTTGCAACATTGACACAACGATCCGAAAAAGTGACAGCAGTGACTTTAAATTGACTGGTATTGACAACCACGCATGGGGTTTGATGATTAACTCAATCAATGTTGCTCTCCTCGCTCCTATGGGCCAAGTAAACTACTAGCCCATAAGCACCAGCGGGTATGCTTTGTTAATGAAGACGATAGACATCCATTAACACAATGAATATGTCAGAAACAACATTGAGTTCATTCTCGATCTGACTTCATACACGCGCATGGGGAATCACGCAAGAGTAAAAGAAAGAGAGCATTGATACTTCCGCAGTGAGTCTTTCTTGCATGTTCTCTCAATTGGAACGACACGCGGGACAATACAGATCGCTAGAGTGATACAATACATCGAAGAATGGAAGAATCGTGCGCTTGGCAAGACCACCACAATTACTCAAGACCACACCGTCAGTTGGCGCTGACATCGCTAGAACCAGAACGAAGTGTCGCTCACGCTTTTTGCGGCAAGTTAGTGCACTCAACACGGTTTCCGAGAATGTAACGGGGGCTTAAACTTTCGACAATCAAGCAAAGGGTTCGTTCGTGTCTACGGAAGAACCTGAGTATGATAACGTCTGCTTTCGACAGCTGTATACGGATACAATTGTTGACCGCGTTCCAATTATTATCGAACAACACAAGCAAGTGCGTCTTTGTCATCTTAAAAGACCCCAACGTTTCTGATAAAATAAATAAACGTGTTCACATGCTTTTTCCAACCAGATTGGGCAAACGCTTCCACATATGCGGCAAGACATTAGTGGTATAAAACCGGCAATTACGAAGAGCTTGGACGTCGTATAGACGCATCAAGCATTGACAGCTCCTCGGATTGACTGAACCTCAACCTCTCCCCAACTCGCTATGCCTTCCTTCAACGCACGCATCGCGTTTCTTGAGATCTCAAAGTCGGGTTTGTGCATCTTCATGAATGCAACACGCTGCATTACAACAACCAGTTCTTCCTCTTCGTCGCCACCATCAACCTGAGAAATGTTTCCTCCAGACGTGTGGTTTGCTTGCGTTTCACTCGACGTCGACATTGACTTTTTGCACCTCATTTCAGTCAGTACAGTAATCGCACTAATATCTCTTCGCACTCTCTCTCGAGGTTCGTACGGATACAAGTCATCAACATCAACGCTATCCGTGACGACCACAGCACAAGGTTTTCCACCCATTTGCACCGACTGATCAAAGTATTCCGTCAACACGACTTTGTTCACCTCGGACGTGATCTCATGGCTATCCGTCGACAAGAGTCGATAGTTCCAGATCGATGTCCCTTCGTCCACGGTATCATAGTCTTCACGAACTGTCGTGTGTCCTAAAGCTTCCGAAATCGTAATTTCCATATTCAGCATAAAGCATTTAATAGCTTCAAAAACCTGTTTCATTGACTGTGCACCAGTAAAATGAAAAAACTCGAACCGTTCACAGCAAAAATTGCCCTGTGCGTCTTCATAGCGATGATCCATCAATTGAGGTTTCAGTAAATCCAGATATTGACTACGAGCAACGACATATTGACAACCTCGAGTTATCATATCAAACTTGAGACTCAATAATACTTGACGTCGTTTCGACCATTCCATAGGCAAGTGGATATTTCTGCATAATGGACTTCCACTTTGTCTCTCCTAGAATGATCATGTAGTGACAATAATCAGATAAAAAACCCACAAGATTGTTAAAAAAACCAAACACGTCGTTCAAACAACCCACTCCTTTTCCACCCAAAAAATAGAAACAAACATGCAGTGTCAAAAACCCAGTTTTAAAAGAAATACCTGATTCTGAGCCAGCATTGACCGCGCTCCTGCGACTGCCAATTGTTGGCTGTATATAAATTCTCGAAGGGAATTATTTGCACCGACAACATCTAAAATCTGAGCCTGAATACTCTTTGGACGAGTCTGAAGACGTGCTAAACGGATCTTGAGTATCTGTAGTTGCATCTTAAGTTTCTTTACTTCATCCTGTCGTACAAGATACGAAGGTCGACGACGTCGTTTCGGTCCATTATGTCGGCATTCTGGTGTTTTCGTCATCTTTTTTTCGTGAAAATTTTAGAAATTATCTGATAGAATTCTAAATCTAAATGTTGACAAACTGGAAATGTTTCAAATAGCTTTACATACTTTAATCAAGTATAATTTATGAATCGTTTCAGACCAATAAAGACTCGTTAAGATTAGGAAAAAAAACAAGTCAGCGGAATTGATAACAAATGTGAACGGGGTTTAACTGGCATTAGAGACTTGACAATAGCTGGGATATATACTTATCCCTGGTCGCTTTGTTCCATAATCACTGCACATTCTTGATTCTCCTTGTGCTTGACTTGATGTTGACAACGGGAAGACTGGAGAATGCTGAGGAGAAACAAATGAACCATTTACGAGAAGAAAAGATAGAAAAACCGTGATGCAAACCTGAAGTATTTTGGGCCCTCGCAGCAAACATGTACTTGGGTGACTACGACCTTGCGTCTCCATAACGTAGTAATCACTTTGAGTCGAAAAATCGCTCACTCAATCCTCACCTGCGCATGAATAGTCGTCTGCCTCGTTGCGTTGAAGACGGTCAACGATAAGCGTTTTCATTACGTCATGACACTTTGGCATGCTGGCGAAAAAACGATCGTGCTGCTCCTGAGACATCTTGTGTGGGTACATATGAAACTTGATCATCAAGTAGCGTTTCATCACCACAAACTTCTTGCCGTCGGCATCAACGTGTCCAGATAGCACCACGCCGCAGCACACATCCCTGCGAATACAATTTGATGTGTCGTATGGATGCAGCTCGTCTTGATCAATATAGTCGGTTGTTAATACTGCCAAATTATCACCAAACCGACAATAGAAAATGGTATTTGACTCCACATCCGGCATCTTTTCTGTATTCTCATCCTTCCAGTTCATGCTCGAGATAATGCGCTGGTGCATGAAGTTACACTTGATCGCGTCCAAAGGCTTAACATAAACAGCAACAAATAATCAACATCACCGTAAAACACAAACCTCGACTGTCATAGCGTACCTCGTGCACCGTTGTGCTTCCAACCATACTGTCATGCACCTTGTCTTTTCCTGCAATTTGCTCGTAAATGGCGCGTCCAACCTGGAAGACGCTCACGCCATCATGTCTAGAAATGGAGAAATTCACTGAGTAGTACTTGCCAAACTTTTCAAACATGTCCGAGCACTGGTACGGCTGATTCCAGTCAAGACCTGCCGCCTTATGTTCGATAAAATTGTACGTCATATCCAGCTTTTCTTCGCGTAAAGATAGTATAGTTTTTCTTCGCTCGTCAAAGTCCTTGCCAAGATGGATGTACGACTCCATGGGCGTCATCAATGCCATACGCTATTTGCCAGAGCATGAACAACAAAGATGTCAAAGCAAAATACACAAGCGCCAGTACAATGCAGCACCACCTACTAACCACATCGTTTACTGGTGCAAGTGCCAGCATAGCTTGAAAGTTCTCTTGATAGACCTTTTGCTGCGCAACAAGGTTGTGCAACAACTGATTGTCCTCCTGGCTTTTTGCCAACAAATGTGGCTGCTTCATACCGCGTGGGTGGCGTTGCTTCAATCGTTTGCGCTGAGGATGTCTCGACTTGGCACGAGACTGCAAAAAAACCACCTGGGCATCCAAATACTTTGTCTCTTTCTCCAACAAATCAATCTCATCCTGCAAAAACATCATCAACAGAAATAACAACAACAGTAGCAATCATAGTGAGAAGGAATCCTAGACAGCTGCTACTTAGGCATGAACTACAAACGCGACATCTTTCATCAATATTCGCCACTCCACCACATACTTCCATAACTTCCTCCTCCGTCTCCTCATCATCTCCACAAGTCTCTGAATCACTGCTTAATGTTTTATCCAACATTAGATAAAGTGGAGATGGAGCAATACTATCATCAGTATATCCACACATAGATGTCGTCATTGAGATTTCTGACAGTGATGAATCAATGTGAGAGAATTTCGATGGTGCCATCAAAGACGGCAGGACTCCCTGATGCATCATCAAGATTCTATCACATTCTCTCATCTCTTCATCCAGCTCGTATTCCTTCTTCTGATTCTGCTTCTGATTCTTCTTCTCTTCCGTATATATCGGACCTTCTACTTCTAGTTCATCATTATCAGTCATACAGGATGATAATGATCCATCCAATGTACTTTGACATGAAGTATTGGATACAGTACTTGAACATGGTGAAGACAATTGAACACCACACGTCTTGAGATTGATGGCTTGATGCTCGTTTGTCGGATTCCATACGGTACTAATCTGATTCGCCTCGTTGTTTTTCTCCTTTTTATTTGTGTTCATCGGATCTGATTCACCCTCTGATTCCATGAAAACCACTTGGTCCATGTCCCGTAAAAATTGTTCATTTTCCACCACAAAATCAGCAATTTCATCGTGAAAGGTCGCATTGTTTTCGGACAAGTGGGGTGTTGTTGAAGTGTATGTGACATTTTCATCAACTCGACATGTCGCAAATAACTCTTCAACATGTATGGAAGGGAAAGGAGAAATGGGTACAATACCATCCATACAATTCGTACTTAAGATAGAATTCTGCTCAGTATTGTCATTATTATCATCAAGAAACTGTAACATATCGTCGTATTCTTTATGAAGAACTAATGGGTCTTTTACGACTCGTTCAATTGCCATGAATGAATGAATGAACGGGTTAATGGATTTATTACAGTTCAAGAATGGGTCAATTTCTCTATGATGAGATTTCGAGAATGGGTTATTTAGTTAGTATGGACTGAACAGAACAGTTTCTTATAGAGAGACGAAATAGATACATATTCACCTCTCAAAACTGATTTGACCCTTTTGGATTGATAAATTAGTTGATTGCGCTTGAGTCAGTAGATAATAAATCGATTTGATTGGTTAGATGATAAAACGACGTGGTTTTGGCGAATCAGAGCGTGTTATTCAAGCTGCGACATGATGCTTGTAGTGAGGACGTTAGTGGCATAATCATTTAATTTCGTAATGGAAGCATGCCATTGGAAAATGGGTGGGTGCCATGTGTTTTAGTCATTACCTGACTAAATCATGTTACCTACCTCCATAGCTAGAATTAGGAAACATAGCAATAACAATATGAAGCGCATTATGAAGGTTTAGGGCAAAACGGTATCAAGGTATTAGGCTATTGTAATAGCTTTTGTGCGCATCATTCACTTCGCTCATGCGTCTAATGAGCACCTGTAGAAACGCTTAATGTATGTGAAATATCGTCTTGGACATATGACGAGTTGCTTCAAATTGTGTTGCGCATAAATGAGTCTCATTTGAACCATTAATTGCAAATATTTATATACGTACGTAATTTCTTGTGAAAAATGATATTTTTATCGAGTCTTCTTATTTATGAACCAAATTTTGTACCAAAGGTTAAAAATGACAAAATAAAAAAAGAAGAACTTACTCTAATTTAGAAATAGTCATATATGACGACCACACAATGCATCAATCTATTAGTATACATGGCTATTTATACAAGTCATCTGACATCAACACCATCATTCCTTCTCTCTCTGGCTTTTTCAAATCTATTTCAACCAATCAAATATCTCGTTCATTTCAACCACCCGCTTCTCCATCATGGCGGCATCCATTCACCACCTTCAGTCGTCATCACGCACTATCTCGTCCAAGACTTTTTCAAGTTCGTATCAGCATGAATCAACTTCACAAGACACTTCCAGTCAAGATACCAATGCTCCACATCACGGTGGTACGACTCGAGAAGGTCGTACGGTTGATTCACAATCCGAAAAACACGCCACAAAGATGGAAGCAAATGCCATGATCACGACTCGAAATTCTGTTGAATTAATGCGTAAACCACATAAACCCAAGCGAAGATATAAGAAACGAAAAGCGACATGTACTGTCCGTAAAGAGGAGATGGAAATATTAGCGTTGGAATGCACAAAATTACAACAAGAGGTGGAAAACCTGAAATTTCAGACTTTTGTGGAGAAAAGTGACGAAAACCACTCGGATCGAAAGGTACGAGGTAGGAATGATTTATTACGACAAGCCGTACAAGACCGACATTTGATACTAGCAAGAGCACAAGCGATGTTTGTGGAATATGCTCAACAAAGTCGATATCGACTTTATCCAACGGAAATGAACATTCGACTTGGAATGGATCGAAAGGATCGAAGAAGAATTTTGAGTGCATTGAGAAGACCAAAATTGGATGAAGCACGGAGGTATTTAATGGAACGATTACGTGGATTAGATCCAATCGCACCTTATTTTCACGAAGAACGATATAATACCATGGAAGGTGATTCTTGTATTGCAAGATTTGATGTGACTCCATTTCGAGGCGCAAAAGGTGTGCAGCAAGTATTCTCGGCTTTGCAGCAAGCTATTTTTAATGCTGAAATCATTATTTCCGAGTCATCGGGAAATATTACGATTCGTGAGGACGATGAATTGGGAGATGATGACTTATCACACATGCGCTTCTTGTCACAGACACCGCTGGGTGTACAGGTAGAGACGAATTTGGTACTATTCTCAGATCGTGCTCATTGCCAAACGAAGGATGTGAGCTTAGCAGAGAATGGTCATTATGCGATCATAGCGTCTGATTATGTTGACGAAGATATAAAGTACCCGTACAAGCCGAATGAGCGCATAAGACGTGATTCCACGACTGCAACCATGGTAACGTCGTATCAAGATTATACTACCGGTAATAAAGATGAGGGTGAGGTTGTGGTGGTAGTCACGCGATGGGCACTCAACATCATACGACGTCCTGTTATTTCTGTCTCAAGTGAAGTGTGGGATGAATTGCGCAATTCTCATCTTCAGTGGGCAGACATGATGCTTAATTGTGTACGCCAAGCTCTTTGCTGCCGGTAAATTGGTAATGCGTAGTGAAGATCCTGAGGTCATGTCGTCAAAACGATCTTGTGTTTGTGTCTTTGAATGAAAGCGTCGAACAAGCGAAAAAGTGAAGACTTCACTTTGAACTAGTAGTGTGTCAATTTTCTATCTCATTATTTATACTGCTTGTTTTGAATGGAGTTGGAATTGTGGGTTTTTTATCTCGGTATCGACTGTGTAGTAGGGACGCTGCTTGATTCTAGTGAAATGCGGGCTTCGTCTAGCACTGCACATGCTTTATGTTGCGCTTGTAGCTTGAAGTCCTTGAGATTGAATAAAATGGAAACTTATATCATGAATGGACCCACTCTCCGGTATTACTTCGCGACTAGTCTTGTCTCGCTACACTACACCTACGTGTATTCTCTTTCGAAATGTATGCGTTTGCTCGCAATACTTGTGCTTTCACTTGGCTTTTCGTCAGTCTTTGCGCTGCAGCTCTTTTCTTCCTCACTACCATCGAGCTCTGCCTTCTTCCGTCGTCCTCAGTTTTTCTTTCATTTACTGCACTTCCCTACCTCACCAATGTACCTTGCACGCCAGCGCCTGTCCGTACATAGTCTGTCTCTCCCTCCTCTGCAACAACGCCAGCCAAGGCTACATTTGGTCCGCAGCATCATCAGCCATACATGAAAACGAGAGGCACTGGAGACAACGAGATATTAACATTATACACAAAAGGAATTGCAGCATTGCTGGCTTGGCATCGCAGACAGAGACTAAAAACGGTGTTTGCAGCTGGAAAGCTCGAAGCCAAAGCTGCCACCTTAGACTGCTGCGTGATTTCTCTTGCCGACGGATGAATGCGAGTGGTGCGCAAACGTGCGGCGCTGACTGACGCGCGTTTTCTAGAGCGCCAACTTGCTCCTTTATTGTAGCCATTCATCATCGACTCGCCAAACTGAACGCCGCCAATGCTTTGCCAATGCAGCATGTCATCTTTGCTTATTTTCGACAGCAGACAACGGGAGACAGTCTTTCCATCATGGTGTGATGCAGCGTTTGGATCCATCGCTCAGTGTTATCGCGCATTTCGTGCCAGCCAGACTGCGGAATTTCGTATTCAGGGTGATACACTTTGCTGTGCACCCACCGAGTAAGCACAACAACTCGCCCCTCACTTGTGTTTTTGGACCTTGTGCGTACGCCATATTTGATTGGAAATGACAAGAGTTCCAGCACAGCGGTAAAATCGCGACGAATGCGTTCATGTGAATGGTACGGATTCAGATCATCGTTATCAACATAGTCAGCAACAAAAATACCGTGTCCATTCTGATGACCTGCATCTTCATCACCTGGTTCATATCGTGAGAAATAGACCGTATTCGATTCCATACGCAATCCACCAATTGTAGTAGACACTAATCGATTCTGTGTAATCCCCGGCGCCATATTATCGTCATCTTCACGGATCGTAATATTCCCAAGCTTTTCTGACACACTGATTTCAATGCTGCTAAAATATCCAAGTAAAATATCATACACCTCTTTCACTGTATTTTCAAACTGCATGGTAGAGATGTACGTTGCATAAAAATCACCATTTGAAGCTTCATACCCATGATCTTCTCGCATTGGTTTCAATGGATCCACACGTGGTCGTCGATTATTTAGAAATTTAGCACCATCTTCCAATACTTTGCTTTTTAATGCCAATAACGTTGCTCGTCGTGCATGTGTGTCTTTTTCTAGATGAATTGCATGATGAATAGGACTGCCAACTCGAAGATTCTAATACAATCGTCCAAACGAATTAGTCACAACAACAACAACAATAATTGATCGTCAGTCATAAGAATAGAAATAACCCACAATGGTTTTTTACCACGTTCAAAACGTACAAATAAAGAGTATTCCGACATTAATGCGTGGATTTTAGTATACTCCAATTGCTGTACTTGAATAGCTCTTCTCAGCACGTTATTAGCCGTTTGTAGTTCACTTGGTGTAAAGGCCTCCACGCCAATATAAGTTGTAAATGCTTGTGCTTTTAACTCGTCCATTTTTGCATGCAAATCGGCTAATTCCTTGACCAATCGAGCTGTTTCTTCCTAGATTGGAATCAAAAAAACCATTTTTAGCAATAAAACCCACGTTTTACTTCCTTCTCCTCACCTTTCGAACGTTAATTGTTGATTTGCGGGACTTTCGTTTGGGTTTTTTAGTCATTATCCTCGTTTTAGTGACATTTGGGACCGCCTGGACCCCACGCTTTTTGCAGATGGGGCTATTTGACTGTATAGTCGACAATGTCGTATCATCCAACGCATTATTTTCATCTTGCATATCATTAAACGACGTGATATATTGCGGGGTAGTTACGTCCGTTACTAGTCTCATGGAAGACTCGAGTGTCTTGGTGGTACTATTTCTTATATTGGTTGGTCGTTGTACAAAATGTGAGGCCAAAATTCGGTCTGATTGGTGTAAATTCAGTCAACCAATCAACATGATCTATTTTGTTTAGGATGCCTAATTTAAAATAGAAAAATCCTATACGAATGACGTGGTTAACAGTTATTGTTTTCGGATTTTTGGCTTTTTTTTCCTGCCAAGATTCCTAAGTATTTTGACAAAATGTGACGTGCATTATTGGTTTCTTCGAAATAGTCAAGTTCAGATACTCTGATGTGCTTTGAAATCGATAGGAAAACGATACGGACGAGGGCTCATACGCTACCTAAATGAGATCTGCCACGTTCATTGGCATCTCATCAATTTGCGTACTATAGTACTGTTCAATGTCTCGCAGGATGCGAATATCATCATCCTTGACAAAGTTGATAGCAACACCTTTGCGTCCAAAACGGCCAGAGCGACCAATGCGGTGGATGTACAGCTCGCGATTGTTAGGCAAGTCATAGCAGATAACTAGCGACACCTGTTGCACGTCCAGACCACGACCCCATACGTCGGTCGTAATAAGCACACGAGAACCACCTGACCGAAACTCCTGCATAATGGCATCACGCTCCTTTTGTGGCATGTCACCGTGCATTGCTGACACCGTAAAATTGGCCTCACGCATCTTGGAAGTGAGCCAGTCCACCTTCCGTTTCGTATTGCAAAAGATCACAGCTTGCGTGATGGTCAATGTGTCGTACAAATCACACAACGTATCAAATTTCCACTCCTCCTTTTCAACAGCTACAAAAAACTGTTTGATGCCTTCCAGTGTCAGCTCATCACGCTTCACCAACACCTTCACAGGTTCATTCATAAATTTGCGCGTCAAGTCGAGTACTTCCTGTGGCATTGTAGCCGACACTAGCAGCACCTGCGTCGATGGTGGCAAATAGCGGTAGATATCATAGATTTGTTCCTTAAAGCCCTTGTTCAGCATCTCATCCGCTTCATCAATTACCAGCATTTTGATATTGCGTGTACGCAAGTTACGACGACGAATCATGTCAAATATCCGACCGGGTGTGCCCGACACTACCTGTACACCAAAGTCCAGTCGACGGATGTCTTCACCCACACTTTTGCCACCAATGCAAGCATGGCACTGCACATTCATAAAATCTCCTAATGCCAACACCACTTTTTGTGTCTGCTCAGCTAATTCACGAGTTGGTGAAATGACTAATGCCTGCGTTTCGTTGCTGGAAGTATCAAGAGATTGTAAAATAGAGATCGAGAACACCGCTGTCTTGCCGGTTCCAGACTGCGATTGAGCAATTAGATCACGACCTTGAATAGCAGGCTTGATAGCACGTTGCTGGATAGCTGAAGGCTTTTCAAATCCTAATGAAACACGTATGAAAGGGACAAGAAACAGCGTTAAATACGCTGTAAGCTTCTAAAGCCTCAAATGAGCGCTAGAGAGCAACATGAAGCCTAATATATATCCATCATATAGCAGGAAAAACACGTACCATACGAGTAAATACCGCGTAATAAATCTTCCTTGAGCCCCATGGCCTCAAATGTGGGGAAAATAGTAATGTCCTTGGACGTGGTGAATTCCACCGTTTCTCCGTCATTCTCGTCCACAAGACGCGAGCCTAGAGAGGATCAATCAATAGCACAAAGCGTCAGCTACAGATTTATGATGAGTGAAGCGTGTATGCATGAGTAGGGGTGAAGATAGAGGCAGCATACGTCGCTTAGTATCCTCGCTCGGCATCTTAGCTACTACTTGTTCGAGCTGCCAACCAACTTGAGTTTTTCTAACGTTTCTAAAGAGGCGCGAGTTAGAAATTGATAATACAAAAGCTGACATTACAGAAATTGACTTGTAGTGAAATGAAATATCACGTTGAAATAGATGAGGTTACGCAAGGGTATATTGTGTATACCCATGATCCGATCGTTTACTATTATTACATCTAGGGTCCAGTTCATAACTTACTTCAGTATAGTTGCTAAGCCATTTCTTAGTATAGTCATTATCTTAAAGAGACGCATACATCTTGGGTCAAACGACCTGTTGTGTCACTGCTATTGAATAGCTCATTGGTATACTTGCTTCCGAGTCGAAACTAGTTGTTCAAAGCATATGCTAAGCCTATTACGGCGAAGTGACGAAAGTACTAGCCGCAACAACCACAGCTTCATGTTGGGGATCATAGTGATAGATCTAGTATGTGTCTGGTAGCTTATAGCTCATTATCAGCGTAATGTGGTGTAGAGAATTCGGTGAAGGCGGATTACATGGCAGTAGTTGTGTGCACGAATGCTCTGGTCTGTGCAAGACTATCGATCACGAGCTATTAAAACGCAATATAAGAATAAAAAGACAACGGAGATGCAGTCACGTTAGCAAGCAACGCTGTGTATAACGCTCGCATCAATCAGGTCAACATAAGCCTTCACTTCACTGCCTGATATGGCAAATGCGTATAACTCACAGGTTTATTGCGTGAGAACGGAGGGTCAGATTACGAAGAATACTCATAACGCAATGAGGACAAGCACACTTGCTTCCTAGCAAGCAGAATCACAATCAAGGTCGCTGCAATCTAGTGGCGAGTAGACGTGATGATCTCGCATGCCGTCGTGGATATAGTTATAACGACACATGTCTATCGTGAACGATTACGTTGTTATGGTTTGAACCACACAACTTCTGATAGTTTGTGCTTGTCCGTTTACATGCAGTCAAACGTATGAGCCATATCAGTCGGGTCTTACTCAGAAGATGAATCGTTACAATAGCTAATTATTCAGCTGTCCAGCAACAACATCACCTCTGGATTCTTTCAATCAACTGCAATTGCATTCAGAAGTTGTTGTCTTGTAAACTGTTGTTGAGAGCGCACATAAAGGTAGTAAACGTGCTCAGCTTAGGGTTCTCGCACAAGTCATTTATTACCTCCACGGTCGAGTCTGAGAAGCACAAGCACGCTTCATGATGACTTTTCAGTTACAATCCAAGGTTTGAATGGTTTTGCCTAGGTGTTGCATCAGCCTATGAAGCTAGCACATATTTCATAACGAATCTGTGTCTTTGACGGAAAATGATCACTACTGCGGATGTGCACCAATATGTCAGTGATGCAGGTACTTGCTTGACTGTGTATTGGATATGGACATCACGAGGACAGAGCTAGATGGCAAGTTGACAATGAAGTTAGACATGAATGACAGCGACAAACACCTCATAATGCATTGAACACAAACAATGATGTTTCAACAAATTGCTGGTGGAAAGAATGCCAACGACATTGCAATCAGCTACGAGACGAAACGATGTGTTTAGAAACACCTGTAGCCTTTCGTTGACCACCGAGTTTTCCCTATTTGACAGGGACGTGAACCTACAGTATCAGTTGTCCAACCGCAAATTCAATCAACGAGGTTGATACAATTGTTGAGCACGAATGCGGTAAAGAATCTTCATCGAGACATGTAAACTCGTTAGCGTACATGCTTTTACCGACAAAACGTCGTTGAAGATGTATTAGACTCATTTTAGCGACATACCAAGAGCTTAAGGTGCAGATCTCAATCATGCTATCCCTTCTTCAGCTACGTTACGTTGTCATCAGGACAAAACAGAAATGGTCAAAGGCGACAATGTGGTAAACAATGATCAGCATCGATCGAGTTGTCTGAATATGTGCACCAGTTTGACATCACATTGGTCCGCTCATATAAACACTTATCGGGACACGTAAATGTTCCGAAGCATGCTTTGAACCATGGTATCGGTAAAACAAGTCAATCCTTGACGAACTTCGTGGAGGACATGCGGAGGGATATCCATCTCTGTGTGATGCAACTTGACACGGAAAAAGCGCGTGAGTACTACCACTCGTTCAAATTCATCGTCCACTTCTTCTTTCTCCGGGTTGCGTAAGTATGCAGGAAACCCACCATTTCCATACAACGAATGGCGAGTGCGTGTCTTCTTCGGCGCCTTCTTGCACAAATGCTCCGTAAACTTCATCGCAGCGTTAATGTCCATTCGAACACGCTCTTGAGGAACATAAGGATACATATCATCTATATCCACCGAGTCCACTGCGACAAGCGCAAAAGACGTGCTTTTTGCATTGTCATCAGCCACATCTGCCTCGACTAGTTTAAAGAACTTGACAAGGTTTTCTTCAACCTTCACGCCGTGGGACATTATGCTAATCAACCGATGATTCGCATACATAGTGCTCACCGTATTGTCATCGTCTTCACACACTGTGACGTCCCCTAATATCTCTGGAAGGATGGTTTTCTGTTTTTTAAAGAAAAACTGGAGCGCTTCAAAAACCTGTCGCACAGATTGTACTCCATGAAATGGCGTATTATCCGTCTTTTCAGCGCAATAATGTCCTTCCTTTGTTTCGAATTTGCTTTCTTGACACCACGACGTCATGCGTGGTAGAAACTTCGACCTTTCCGTAATGAACACATCTGCTTGTGCCAGTTTGGAATCTTTCAACTTTACCAATTCCGCTCTTCTCTGTTTTAAATCTGTTGTCAAGTGAATATACGTCTCAATCGGACTTTTCGAGCACTTCATCAAGTACTCTGCCTCGACCATAGCATTCACATTTCGAAGCAACATATCCTGCTTTTTCGACTCGGTTCTTAGCCTCTCGTTATCGTGAAAACTGGCAACCAACTGTTCCCTCCCTGTAAAAAAACCAGTCGGAATACCACTTGCTTTTCTCAGTCGAAGCATATGCTGTTTTAACTGGACCAGCTCCGCTTCAAGCAAGGCTTTTTTCTCTCGACGTACAATATACGTTGGTTTCTTGCCTACTCGTTTCTTCACAGGTGGATCTCCATCCTCCTGGACTGCCGTTTTGGCAGGACGACCGACACTCCTTTTCGTTTCTTCTGGTTCGAGCCTCTTTCGACAATGCCCAACAGCATTTTCTACTGCAATGACAGACTTGTGGTCTTCTACAGCTTTCTCAACTTCGTCTTTGCATCGTTGATGATACATCAAGTCCAACATATTATTTGACACTTCCTTCGGACGTGGTCGATCTGACTGGATAAAAGAAAGCAAAGTGTCCGTTGCTACATTTAGCTTCTCGTGTCTTTTTGTCTGGAACGAGAGTTTTGATTGTATCACACCATTAACATCCTGAGGGAATGGAGGACGTGGAAAGGATGGGACTAAAGGGTATGGATCCTGATGTAGCGGCCGCCCCATTGCACGAATTGAATTCCTCGTGCTATTCATGACTTGAGGGTTTGGTTCAGATGTATTGGACGTTGATGGAACGCTCGTATGTGCTAAGAGGTGATCGTAGAGACCCATGACACAAAAAAAGCAAGTTACTTGGTGTTATTGAGCTCTTTAGGACTTGATTATTTCACAAAAACCATGTGTTTCTTCGTCTTCTTTTTCTTTCGATTTTGTTTGTTAATCGTGTGGCGACTTAATTTCGTCATGCACTGGATACTTCCGTGGTAATAATAAACTTGACCAGATGGAAGTTTGATTGACAAGTACTTAAATTTACCAAATATACTGAAATTGTCAAGTCTCACCTCAGCATGAGATTAGCAGAGTAGTCTCTACTTAAGAACAGTCAGTCTCAACCTTGCACAAAACCAATCCCAAAGGTGTTCAATTCCATGACAGGAAATCACTTTTATCTTCCCGTTTGTGGATTTGGAATAACAACAGTCTTGAACATGGTGTCACTTTTCTCTTTAACGTCACTGACGATGCGGCTGGAAGACAAAGGTGCTTCATGTAGCTGTAGGATTGATATGTCTTATCGTCTAGCATGTCTGTGTGTAATGAGTGTGCGTAATTATTGTCACGTTCTGGTATTGCTAACGATTTTCTCGATGTCTTGAACGTCTCTTTGTTTGATATTTCGGTGAATGAGGTGTGAAGTTCTATGACCAGTTGTATCGCATGGAGATATCGTGGGATACAATTCCATACGGCTCCGTGTTCATCCGCTGTGTAAATCCGCGTTGCTGATGCGCGTCAGACAATATCGTCTTTGCTTTCAAGGTGAGAAACTGGTTAGTAGCCTTCAAGCAGCAAGATAACAAAGCATGCCATGCATTCGATTATACTGCAGTGTTCCAGCTCAGCAAACCATTTGGCGCCGCACTTATTCAAGACTACACCAATTCAACTCAGGCGTGCATATCTCTGTAATTTTAATGCCGTGTCGTTTTTCCTGCGTCGGGTAGCAAACTATTTGGCAGTAGAAGTGCTAAGTACTTGATCATCTCGTCTTCATTGTCGTGTTTCGCGCAAACACCCAACAGCAACTGATCGGGTGCTGGTATGGTAGTCTCTGTATCCGCTTCCGCGTATTGTCTGCACTGAGTCACTTTGCACCATTCATTGCTGCATTTCTACTCGTTGCGACACACGATAGATGCTGTTTTACGTCTTGGAACTCGATCCAATGCAGACCAGAATGTACGATAGATGCATCTGCGTGGTGATGTTTATCAAATGAATACTCTTGCCTAACCAAAAATAACTGTGTATTGCATAAAGGACTGTTGCATTCAAGATCGACAAAGCACCACATGCGATCGCACGCAAGACATTCAAATTATCTGCGTCAGGACAACGGCGGCGAGTCACACTGTTGTCGCCATGAAGTGGGCAAACAAGTGCACCGAGTGTGTACAAAAGTAGAGTCGCGAATCGAAATTAGACGGCAGTATGGCGAAGAGCGCTGTCAGGAAGATGAGAGGAAAGCATTGCGTCTTTGTCTACTTTGGCAGCGCTTTCGAGTGTTTGATGCGGCACTGTTCCAAACTGCAAACGCCAAAATGAGCAACTGGAAGAAAGAACCTAAGGACGAGTCCGTTTGATTCTCCATTTGCGGATTGCAGTGCATCTTGGAACGCGCATCAATCCTCCAATATCGGTCTTAATACTCATGAGCTGACGCTGGATAGCACGTTCAGTGGCAATATGAAATTGAATGCAAACCATTGAAATGCTTCAATGGAGACAAAGATATAACATTCGTGCATGCTCAGTGCTAGAGGCCTTAAGGCTTTGTGAACGAAGCGAACAAGCTCGTCACGGTACAGACTAATGCTGCTATCGTGGATTACTATTCCAAGATCCGCCGTCATTGGCGTGATGCTGCAGAAGATGCGTAAGAGGAGGCCAACTCGGTGAATACGTGTTGACTTCAGATAGCAGCGCGTTGAATAATGAAGTTGCTTAACCAATACATATTCCATTGATACGGATAGCGCTATTGTTTACCGACTCACCATAAACTACAGGTAAGATCATAAATGTTCGGACTGCTTCGTCTCGTGTATATTGCTAGCATTATGCTGTCCGAATAACAAACAACGAACGATCAACTGCAAAGGATCAAATCAAGAACACATTCAATTCAAGCACAGGATTGCATAAATTCTTCATCCTAGCTGTCGTATCATCTCACTTTTTCATCTAGCTAGTTGCCAGGACCACGCGCCTCGATCGGCCACACGCATTCGACACGGTTGCCACGGTATCCCACCAAATGGTCGTACATGTTGACAGTCGGATCGCAGTGGCCTGGAATAAGCAGCAGTTTCGTGCCCAAAGCAGGGAGCTCCAGATTATGGGTAAGTAAAGCATTCTGCGTCGGCTTTAGGATCCCATGTTCATCACCGCCACCATAATATTCAAGCATCGTCGGCAGCTTGTTTCCATTGATTAAGTTGTGTACGATTGGCGAACCCGAGTCTTGTGATAACGCCTTCATACCAGCATCCACGATTGCGCGTGGCACCGCAGCTTTAACATTCGTGCTCATTACCGTCGTCAACACATACAGACTTTGCTCCCAATCACACACCGGTTCGCCATCTTCTCCGAGGTTTTTCGCGTAGTCAGCATCATTGAACAAGTACGAGCCCGGCTGCACCTCCGTGAAAACTCCACTTGCCGCTTCCAACAGATACGTCCCTGTTCCTCCTCCCGTAACCACCTTGCAATTTACTCCATGCATCATAAGTGCATCACGCACACTCTTGGCTTTGTCCACGACGCCCGCAATCACCCTTTTCTTCTCTTCGTAACTGCGAATATGCTGTGCTGCACCATGATACGCTTGAATCCCCACCATGTCTAAGTTTGGAGCATACGACTCGATCGTCTTTGCCAGCTCAACAGCTTCGTCTACCGTATCGACACCACATCGATCTTGCCCGACGTTCACTTCCACCAAAGCTCGAAAATGGATACCCTGAACTTTGGCAGCTTTTGCAGCTTGAGCAACTGTCTCAACATTGTCAAAAATCAATGTCACCGTTGCACCACGTTTGACAAGAGCGGCCATACGCTTGTAGCGCTCAATACCGTAAACTTCATTACTCAGTAGGAGATCCCTCATCCCTCCCTTAAACATGGCTTCAGCTTCACCGACTTTTTGACAACAAAGTCCTACTGTCTGTGACATTTGTAACTGTAATTGTCCAACTGCAGAGGACTTGTGAGCTTTCGCATGTGGACGAATTGCGACATGTGGAAAAGCCTTGAGAGAGTCAGGAAGATGCTGCAAATTCCGTTCCAAAGCGTCTAGATTTACTACAAGACAAGGCGTTTCTAACGACGAGACCAAGGCACCTACTGATCCAGGAGCGCGATGAAAGACTGAAGAAGACGAAGATGACAGACGACGGATGGCAAGAGCACCGATGGCTGCTGCCGTGGCCGCAGCGACTAGAGGGAGCGACGATGAGCGCCACATTTGTTTTAATCTAAAGATTTCAAAGTGGCATACACCAACCCATATTGATGGAGGGTCGAGGAGAAGACGAGCGAACTAGGAATAACAACCTTAGCAAATCGAACAAGACGGCGCCGTTTCATGGATCTATTTCAGTTATTTGATGCTGTTGATCGAATCTATTGGTGCAACGACAGCGATGCTCAGTCAGCTGAAATTCTACTATTGTTTCGGACGCGGCTTCAGCTTCAAATGAATTAGTTGTTGTCGACAGCTTGTCGGCAGCTTCTACTACGCCTGCGCCGTTATCATTCGTATCATTTTCGATGATAGACCTCACTCTACCATCATTGTCAATGTTTTGTACGTTCTTTTCGATGCTTGATGGCGATGCCACAATGGCGACTGCAGAGCATAACAGGGCGCCGCAATGGAGTGGAAGTTTTTGAGTGCATGCGGAGCATATCGAGTTACGGTAGAAATTGCGCACCTCGAGCCGCAAAAAAGGAAGAAAGACCGCTGTTAGCAAGAGCTGTTAAGTGATTGCCAACATGACAGTGGACACAAGGACCTTGCCATATTCTCTACAAACGTGGTCAACTGCATCCAGACAGCCATATGCAGCTCGCAAGTTATGTAGTGTGGTTGATTTAATATGTCACTGTCACGCTCATGGCCACTGATTCGTTTGTCAAGAAAGCATTAGTCCATTCCGCTCATTCAAGCATCGCTAGTCCGTACAACAGGATGCAGTGACACAGTAACGGACTGCATCATAAAGTATCTGTGCAGCTTATGCCGCTGCTGCCTGCAAGAAAACGACGCATTCGTCAGGATGACAGCGGTTACCTGTAAATATCCCAGCTCTATGATATCAACCTGAACATGATAGGGGTGCACATATGTCTTGACATGTTATCGCTCGACAATCGTGGCCAATCCTAAGGCTACTGAAAAGTGCCAACCAGTGCTCACAAGGAAGAGGTTAGCGTACTCGATGCTCTGGGCGGGCTCTCTGAAGGCAAGATACTCATCCAAACGGTGACACCACGCCAACTGGCAGTCAAAGCCATCATATAATGATCAGAGTTGTCTTAGCAATTGATACGAAGATGATGCCACCGCTCATGATACTTCTGTCAGCCTCACTCGAGATCTAGTACGTGTCTTCGCCTTTAACATTAACTTGATCTCGCAGAAACACCCGATGACCCAGCAAACGAGGTTAAAGCATGCTTTCACACATGCAACGACAATCATGTCAAGATGGAGAAGCTAGAGATTGTCGTCAATTTTGTTTTGAACATTACATCGAAGAGGTGCTGCATTAGCCACGGAATACGCAATAGAAATGGATGCGAGAGTTTTGCCGATTCCGTGCGTGGTATCAATAGCTGCGCGTTTGACCGCAAGCGTACTGCATAGACCTACATCAATGGTGCCACTGGAGCTATAACAGACCGATTGGTAAGCTACGTCGTGCCTCAAGGCTATCATTGTGATCAGGAACATTGTTCAAAGCAATCATGACTACCCTGTGCAAGAACTTGAAGATACTGGTGAGCCGAAGGCAAAGGCATCTATGATTCGGCTTGTTGGGAAAGCATGCCGAGATATACGCCGACAGCTCGTAACACTAGTGTGAACTCGGCGGTATCGGAATGATGCAACAGCTTCAGTATAATGACAATGACAAGGTGAAAGGCCCATCTGAACAAGAGAAGACGGATCGAGTTGTCAGTTTCTTTTTAGTAGTAACGTGAGTATCTGCTTGCTGTGAAGTGAATACACTGGTAGACGCACTGCCCAAATATTCGTTTCGTTTTGATCGCAAAGATAACATTAGCTCGTGTAAAATTAGTCGTGGTGTCACCGACTCGACTGACTCATTTTTGCCCAAAAAAATGACAGTCAGCATCGTGCCGTTCAGAAAAGGATTTGAATGATTGCACAGCAAAGCAATGATGGTCTGGTGATGACCAACGCTTTATATACGCCTCAAAGACAACATCATCTCTAACGTAAGCTTGAAAATCTGCAGTCATCTGCATTAATTGCAGGCCATTAACATTTAGTTTGCCCAATGGGTTGAGTTGATTATTTCTAATGAGCCGTACAGCATCAAGCTACATACTCAATCACAACCTAAGGTTTGCGACAAATCCGTACTTTCTGATGTCAAAACATATGGTCTTGGTACAAAAACATGACCAATCGATCAATTTCGATGCTGTCTCAAATCCCATTAGAGATACTTGATGTGCAAGCTCAGGCGATGGACACATTTCTACCCGTGCAAGGAAAGAAAAGCCAGTAGCATGACTATGACGCTAAAATGATACTCAAGCTGTGCGCGCATTGGCAATCACGCGGCATCTCTCTCCATAGTATGCCCACTTGCAAAAGATATTATTGCAGATCATACAGCAGCAGTGCATACACACAGCTAGAGCCTGCAGTGCAGCCGAATTCCTTTGCCATCATCGTATCTACTGTACAGAGAAGCACATCATACTGATAAGTTTGTAAAATTTTGCTAATCTCAGGATAAGCAAATCAACCAGCTGTCTCTACGGAGTCATAGATGTTGTAACATGATGGCGACAAGAGGGACCATTCGCCATTTTATGTTACGAGGCTTTTTCCCATCCATTTGCTCAACAATGCGCTTCTTTTCTAGTCAATGTGATGGCTGCAATTGCTTGTGCTTCTTGCTTTGACGCTGTAGCTGACAACGCGAAGACTGTGAACGCTTTCATCTAATACAAAGGCTTTTGTAGAGGGAACGAACAAGCGGATACTGCGTGTCATATTATTATTAGCTTATGGTTTGGGGTTCCAGAACAGTTATACGCTAATGATAGATCGATCAACTTTGAGTAATATTACAAGGTTATTAACACTTTTGTATCACCTGATTGGGTGGATAGAGTGTCGTCTTGGGCAAATTTGCGATAAAGAAGCGTTGATTTCACATAAGACACCAGTAAATCCCGAGTCGAGCGCATATTTAAGTCGCAAACAAACTTGACTTGAACGTCGACGCATTTTGCCTTAAGGGACGACGCTTTGCCCTTCAAGTTGCAAAAAGTTTGGATAATTGTCGACGTGAATCAACATCGACAGCTCTGGCTCCATGTCGATTTTGTGCAGTATCCAATTACCAATTGCTCGCGGAGACCTTTAAAGCCGCAACAAGCTTGGCTTTTAGTCGCTTTGTATCCGGCAAAGCTATATCGCTATAAGATTTAGCGTGGTCGCACCGTCACTCGTCTAAATGCTTGTCTATATTTTGCTCTGTCTGTGAGGCAGCGGGCCATCTGCGTTGCTTGCTTCCAATCGTAAAGCCGCGGTTGATGCGTCTGTCGCTTTGGCTTGGGGGCATCAAACAAAACGCCGGATCGCGTTCAGCGCATGCTAAGGGATAAGAAATCCCGTTACTGTCCCACACTATATTATTGGCGAGAAATTGCTACGAAATGATAGAAAATTCTGTTATTTTGTCTTTAGATCGTATGCTTTATCCGTCTCGGTTGATCGGTAAGTTGTAGCCTAAGAAAAGTGCTAAAAGCAGACATTGCTGCATAAATTAATGAAGTAGCGGCTGATACTTAGTGCTTGTAAGCGATTAAGTTTTAATGATATTTCAGACAGAAGCGATGGGTGACTGGTTGGGTGTAAGGATCCATAAAAGGCCGATGTGTGGAAAGGAGCAATGAAGAGCAAGAAAAGCTAGCGCATCGTAGTAGCGAGAAAATAGCGCAACAGGCAATGCCAGAATCCTTATACCGCAGCGCTACCTTCTTCCTTTATGCAACTGGCAACCTCGCCAGCGTAGACAACACTCCCACTCGACTCGTCAGCGAACAGGACACAAATCTTTGCTATAAGTACTTGGAGCTGCATAGCAACAATCAACTTTGTCATCGTGTCGGCCACATTGTCTTTTGGACAGTATACCACACATCTTAATTGTATCCAAACTTTTCCTGTACAAATTGATGATGAATGCCGACATGTTTTGTGCGCTTGTGTAATTAAGGATTTTGGCCAATGCGAGGGATTCCGAATTCGTGTTCGGTATATTCGAACATGCTCATTACTAGTCGTCCCGCCTTGCCCGCGCAGAGATTATGAGCCAAACCGCTTCTTGTGTAGCATTGAATAGCACCATGTATTTTGACTCCGATGACGACAGCGATACATTTCTGCGCTTCTTACGTTGCGGCAGACGTTTCGTCTTACGTTGCGACAGAATTCTCTGATGAATACA